AGTTTACGCAATTTTTAAGGATCAGAGGTCAGTTAAAATGTTTTTTTTTAATTTGCATTTACAATCCAGAACTTGCTGTTGCTAAAAGGACACCTAAACATTTTCAGGAATAAATTGTTTTTAGACTTGAGGTAGGTACTGCGTGATTCCATTTAAAGTCGACAAACATCTCGTATGTGTGTGTGTATTTTTCTGATAACAAATTTTGCGAAATTTAGAGGATCGCCCAAAATCAATATTGCATAATTACATTTCCAGAGACGGACGCACAATATACCTCATTATAGCGAACGATTTAATGGGAGTTACGGACGTTCGCACACTGGGGAATATTAAACCGACGACGCCAGGTTATTATTTGCCGACCGTCGACTTAACAGCCCGCAAAACGCTCTGGCGTGTATTGTTAAATTTCCAAAGTGCATTCGTTTTAGATTTTGGCATGAATTGTGGCGATCCAAACGCGCAAAAACATAATAAAACCGCAATTTAAATTAAATGGAGTATACCGCGAACCGAGATGTATCAAAATAAACTATTTTCACGAATGTAAATGCCTTCCTTTGATCTCCTCTATCGGCCTGCGTGTAGCCATAACGTTTTTCTCGTAGCTCCCCGAGAGATTTATCGCCGAAAATATTATGTTAATATTTTTATGCATTTTACGTAATAAATTATATTTTCTGTATAGTCGTCAGATGGAAATAGTCCGGTTTGTAATTGCATGTATTTTATTCAGGTTTTATAACGAGATCAGCGGTTCCCCGTGAAAATTCCTTTTTATTTTCTTCAAGAACGTTAAATATTTAAATACAACAATGTTTATTGTTTCAGGAAATTTATAGGCTTCGTGTTCTGAAAAACATTATATTACTCTTCCATTCAAAATATACATTTACTAACAAAGCATCTAGATAACGTCTAGAATTTATTGCTACAATACAGGGTGATGTATGAAAACGGTTCACATGGAAATGTTTTGCGCGAAAATGTACGTACAAGTTATACCTTTAAAAATTAACTATACAGGGTGTTTCAGGATTAAGTCGACAAACTTTAAGGGGATATTCCTCATAAAAAAAAGAAAATTTACGGAATTTGCCACCAAGCAAACAAACATTGAAAATGAATACAAAAAATAGCTCAACATATAAATAAACACTGACAGAATGGCAACAAAAAAAAAACGATAAAAAGTACCACTACCCCCAAAATTACAAAACTACTCTGAAAACGCTACAGCCACCCCACCCCAACTGCTAACCTTTGTCAACACATCAACAAAACTAAGTTATTGTTACAAATTTCCCCTTTTCTGTTTCACCATTTTCCTCCACATTCTCAGTTATCGCAGAATACCCACTCACTTCTATTCAACGCTGAGAGATCCAACCTACACAACGACATTAAAGTCGCTCCGATCGAACTACTCCTGCGCCCAGCGATCGCGACCGAACATTTGTAACACCTTGAAATTTATACCCATTATATTTTCCCAAATTTGGCGTTATACTACCGCTTCCGTAAACATATCCAACGTAAAAATTATTTAAAGTGATTTTAATTTTAAATCGCAGTAACTTTTTTATTGTTACCTCGCCCAATATTTGTTAATCGTCGTACTAAAAGTAGACCTCGCTCGCCCGTGCACGTAGTTTTTGCCTCGATTTCTTCACCGATCTCTGAAAAACTGTGTTGGTCATTTGCCCGTCCGAAAAAAAAAATATCCTGTTTTCCTCCGAGTGCAGTTTCGCGAATTACACGCGCTCGCGATTCTCGCCTCGGGGAGGGCGAGCACGGCGCTTTTTGTAATAATAAATTAACAATGGCATTGTGTGCAGTGAAACATAAACAGAACGGAGAACGGGTAATGGCCTAAATCAGTCACGGTGGCGGCATAATTCGGCGTGAAGACAATAATGATTGTAAGGTGGGACCGTGGCGGGATGGCGTTTTGTGTCGGGTCGAGAAAAATTGCTTTTCTTGTAGTTTCCACGCTAACCACTTCGTCGGCTTCGCCGCTTCGTCAGGAAGCTGATCTAGAATTTGTTTTTTTTTGTATAATTTCGCGATAACGTCATAAATATTAATGATTCGTTTACAATGAACAGCAACAAACCCTTATGCTGGAGACAATCAGCCATATTCTGTAACTCCTTATCGAATAGAAATGTATAAAATCGAATCGAGATCAACCCATAAAATCGGAATTGGGCAACATCGGTATTCTATAACTTGTTTCGACGTCTACTATCGAAGTTGGTAAAAATCGACGTCGATCGGCAAACTCTGTCGAAGTGGTGGTTTTAGATATCGAGATCGGATCACGCATGCGTTGTTGAGTTAGATGTGTCAGTTTGAGTTAAGCATAACCTCACAACACAACAAATCTTTCCTTTTCGTGTTTTAAATCACAGAATTATAAAATATTTGTACGTCTATACGTACGTGTATAGGTATATTTTTTATTTAGTTATCTAATTTGTGCATGGTTTATAATATTCTCTATCAAAGGGCTTAGTTTTACCATGAAGTAAAAATTTGTACAGCGTAATGAAATCTACCATGTAGTTCAGCTGCTCTGTAGAAGTTTTTTTTCTTTATTGGAGTCGGAACTGACATCATTAATATTTTTCAGTACTGACCTTCTCGAAAGATTACAGCAAAATGATTGTATTTTTAAACTAAACTAGGTATACAATCTAGTAGGTAGATACAATAATTAAATTTACCGAACGTGGGATTTCCTATTAAAACACATCTGCAAGTCAACTGTGCGTAAATTCCACTTTTTATACCTCCGCTAAATCTTGTAAAAGGCAAATTTATCTTATTTTTAGAGCTAATTTGCATATTTCATATTTTGAAATTTCTAACCTCTAAATGTCACTTGGTTATTAAAGTCTATAATCGCAGAGCAATGCATTGTTGCCATTGCGCTAAACCGGCATCGAATCGAGGTAATTCTCTACGATTTGAGTTACAGAATACCAATTTTAAGAAACGATCGACGCGATAGATATTGAATTTTACGAATTGCGAACATTTCGACTCGACCTGAGCATTTCGATGCAAGTTACAGAATAGGGCTGAATGTGATCTCTGGTTGGTTGAGTCTCGTGAAAAAAATACACCAATCAGAACAGGCGAAACAGAATGTTGTGTGTGGTTGTGTTTTAATGTAATCTGATCTTATTGTTTTAATAATTTTTACCTGGCTTGTAACCATTTATCAAGGCTCTGTATAACAAAACCGTGTACAAAATATCGAAATAAAACGATGTCCGGGATATCCTTTTAAAAATAGTTTATGTAACACTTCTGTGCCACTTGACCCTACTAAATACGTAAATTTTTATCGTAATTATTCATTTAGTCACACACCATTAATAATTTCTACTTATTTCCATATACGGTTATAAAATTAATTAATATTTGAATAAGGTGTCTGAAAGTATGCAACACACAATGCATCTAAACTAAATCATTCATTAAAATTGATTCATAGAAACCACTTGATTGAGAAATAAATTTTTTGGATGTGAATGTAATTGATATTCTGATAAAAGGTTAAACGTTAATACTAAAAAAATATTTGAAATTCATGGGCGGTGTAAATCTGATTTAAAAAAATAACAAAAGTCGCGTCTGCAAATATTTACTTCGAACGGGGTTATTTGAAAGACAGTTAAAACTGTCGTTACTCCCAATAAAACAACTGAGTATTTATGAAAATAAACAGTAAAACACTCTGTAATTACCAATAAAAAATTCTTTGAAATTTAAGCGAGTTTACATGTTTTCCCGAAGCTCTTTATTACAAACATCGTTTTTAAGGCAAATAAAATATTTATTGTTACTTAAGATGATCGGGGTGTTAAAACTATGTGTTTATATAATTTTTTTGTGCCAAAACATTTTAAGAAACGTCTGAAGCACACGTACCAGGATAAATTTAAAAACTGAGGGGGATGTAATATGAAACCCTCTATATTATTCATCAATGGTTATTAAAAAATTATTGTGCTTACAGTCGGAGCATAAAAAGGTACTAGCCCCCCCTTCCAGGGTGAGTCACTCTCAGCATCGATCGAAGAAGTGCTTATTTTTGTTCGCCGTATCGCTTCACTCTCTATTGGGCTGTCCGTCACAGTATACGGTCTATTCTAAGTTGCTGTACCAGCCAAGTTTTCATAACGGTATTAATATTACAAAAAAAATAACAGCCATTGTGTCGTCGAATCAAAATAATATTTCCCTTGCGGCCTCCGTTCATTACGATGGGGTAGGTTTTATCTGTGTTGCATGCTTTTTGGTATTCTTGCTATTGTTGACTATTTAAAAAGTCTTTGGTATTATTTTTGAAGCCCCCGAGATTCTTCCCCCTCATATTCCTCGTAGTACGTGATTTCTGTACAGATGCATTTCTTATTAATGTCCATATTAATATTTTCTGCTTCAACGCATCCACTTACTTTTAATGGTGGTAGAAGATATTTAATATGGGCAATTTTTTACCTGCCCTTTAGGTATTGTTTGCATTGTGTGCGGTTTATTAAATATAATATCATAATTTTATTAATACGCCATTTCTGATGTTTTTTTTTATTTGTTGTCCGGGGCTACTCGTACGCAGCTCGTTCTTTGTTGGGATGCTGCGAGATATTGATCGGCATCGAATTGTACCACACCCTATTCTTAAGTTGTTGATTCGTGAGCCTTTTTACAGATTTAATAACCAATTGTGCAGAACATTTATTAAAAAAAATAAAAAGTACAAAATTTATTTTTTTCATTATTAAACGTTGACAAAATATTTTGTTGTAATATATTTCTCACAAATATAATTTTAAAATAAGCAAATATTTTTCCTAAATAAAATAAATTTTTCCCGTAAATGGATGCATATTTAAAAAAACAATGCCCATTTATACGAGTTCAAAGATTTGCAGACCACTATCGTTTGCGTTGTTATCTTACGAATGACACGCCTGTTGCAGTGGTCACCATGAAGCATCGAATGTTGTGGAATAAGCAGCGGATAGGAACCAGTTCGAAGAGGGGGCTTAGGGATAGGCCCTTGTCAACATGAACGAGAAGGACTCGAACAAAGCCACCAGCGACGAGCCACAGCAGCAGAACATCTATGAGGGCGGTTTCGATCACAAGTCTCCCAGACCCCCCGTGCCAGGAGAGGAGAGGAGCCACTTCATGTCCGACTGGGGAGTCCCCTCGCAGATGGACTGTACGAAACACAAGTCTTCCTCTCCCTCGCCTAGGAGGTTCTCTGCTTCTGCAAACGGTGAGGCGATTTAGTGTTAGTTTTTAAATGTCATTGTTATTATACATCTGCAAACACTTTACAACTTTGTGGACTCGATTACTTCACATTTGATTTTACGTCACTATATTACTTGTAAGGGACGTGAAGTACTCGAGCTCGTGCAGTATTTGTGGACGTTAAATAACAGAATATTGAAAAACTAACACACTGTTGTGAAAATTAGTTCATAAAACTACATTTCATGGCAAAGTTGATGGAGAAACGTTATGAAAATTGACGCAAAGTTCGATTTGTTAGAATCTGATAGTTATCGGTTTGATCTTCCTTTTGCAACAAACTGGTGTCTTTTTTTAGAATCTAACCCAGCGCTATTGGGATATGAACCGGAGGGCAGCTGTCGCCCCCTGCCATCTGCTTCCCGGCCATCTTCCCGCCCCTGCCCCGACAACCCCTCCCCCCCGTCTTGTCTGCGATGGGCCCAGTCTCTGCATTTCCTGCTGCAGGATCCCGAAGGGACCCGTCTCTTCCAGCAGTACTTGAAGTCCGAGTGCCCCCACCACGCGGACCTCCTCGATTTCTGGTTTGCCTGCGAGGGCCTGCGCAAGCAATCGACCCCCGAAATGATACACCGGTTCGTCAAGATCATTTATATGTAAGTATAGATTTAAAAAAAAAATTAAGAAGTTTTGAATGTTATTTACACTCTAGTGGCAAAGTAGTAGGCGGTTTATGTGATATGATTTCGCATATTCTCTGCATTTGAAGTGTAATGTGCCGTTGATTTCGCATAGTGTTCCAATATTATATTCAAGTCTTTGTTTCTATCGATTGTTGCATAGCCTACTATTTTGGCGCCGGAGGAAAGCGCAAAAATTCATGGTGGACGTTATTAAGTTTTCCTTTGTAGGACATTTTTCGTGAGGTCCACTCTTCCCATCGACGAGGATTTGCGGAAAGAGGTGGGAAAGAACATAAAGTCGTCTCAGTGCCTTGAGCCCCCTGTGACCTTGTTCGACCAGGCGCAGGCCAGGGTCGAGCAGCTCATCGATGAAACCACGTACCCCAACTTCCTTAAAAGCGATTCGTACCTGCAATATTTAGAAGTAGGTACAAGCGGGACGGCGCGTTGGATCCATAACGCGCGGTATCCGTTTACTAAAGTGATTTTTTTGTTTTTTTTTTGTTTCAGAATGTTCAAAATCCTAGTAGTAGCAGCAGTAGCGATTTTAGTAGTAATGAATTGTCGGGACCCCTGGCCAGCGGCTCCGACCTCCTGCCCACCCTTCATGAGGACATGGAGCTGATCATAAATCCTCCGGTTCACATCAGTCATAATTCCGGTGAGTTTTATTAAGTCTGATTGTTTTGTCGTGGGGCCGCATTAAAAAAAATTGGAACGGGAACTGGAAATATGATTGAGTATTTCTTTATCTACTTTTTATTTCCATTTTTCACCTGGAAATATGTAAAAAAATTAATTTGGCGTTGTCATAACCATTAATTAGAAAAGTGGTGTCACAAAAAGTGTATACCAATCTGGAAAGTTAAGAAAATTTGGAATTATCGGAAAATTACACTAGATGTCACTAACTTATTTTGTTAAACTTTACTTGCCGATAAAATTTCATAAAATTTGCCATAATTACTGAAACTAATTTTTAATATATTTTTTTAATAAATTCAAAACGTTTAAAGTCAAACAAATGAAAATTTTTACAGGTAGTTCACATTTTATAAAACAAAGTAAATTTTTTCTCATTTTTCGATTATCGAAGACCAAAACAAAATTTTTGTTTTCTTTCGGGACACCGAATGGTAGAGATGTTTTAAAATCTTATGAGCTTTGACCTTCATATGCGCAGAAACATAATTCCGACCGTCGCCTAAATTATTCTACGTCTTAAAAATATTACACCTATTATTCACAGTCTCTCTCGAGCTCTAGCGTAAACAAGCCTTTGATCCGATTACAAAAATCATAATAAAATGCCCTATTCTTTATTATTTTAATTTAAACAATATAAATATATACAACGAACCTTCGCCAGTTGACTTTATTGATGCCCGAGTGCCTTAGTTCATTTCTACTTGTAATGATGCACATGGTCTAGTTCTGAGTCAATGTTTTCACAACGTGCTTATTAGAAGAATTATGGGAATACGCCACGCCTTTCGTGCATTTCGCGGCTCATGAGATATTAAAAGACCTCTACTACCAACATTCAAAAAAAAATTTGGCAAATGTTAGTGACTGAAAATCTGAAAGTGATGCAGAGCAAACATTTTTCAGTCTTTCCTGGAAAATCTTGAAATCTTTTGGTCAAAATTTCATATCGTGAACTTGACGGCCGTATTTTTTTTCAATAAGCGCACAATAGCTTGCTTTTGTTAATTTTATATTTTGTTTTTCATCACTAACAATATAACGATCAATAATTGTGGATTCTTTAACGTTAATTTAAAATCTGGTTATTTTTCTTAAAAGGAGTGTTTTTGTGCGTAATTTTCAGTAAATTTATAGCAGATTCTTGACAAGGGTTTAGAAAATTTAAGCAAGGTAGAAGAATATTTACTAATTTTTATTTGTCTGATTATCGAGCACAGGCAGCTTAGATGTAGGTACCACGGAATTTTTGGTTTAGGAGAAAATGACATTATTTTAATCAACCAAAATTTGAAAATACTTTTTTTGAAAATTATGCAGAATTTTTGGCTAAATTCAAATAGTAATAGTTTATTTTGACTGATTTTAATGTATTCGTAACAAAACAAAATCAACGTCTAAAAGAAATCCAAATTAATTTTTTTTTACATTTTTTTGTTCTTGTAAAACAGTTAAATAAGAGAAGATCTTCATTACCGGAAAAGCCTTAACTTTATTTATAATATTGCCAAATGCTTACTCTAATTAGAAAAATATATAAGGAGCCTAAGATTAAAAATAAGAGGATCACAAAAAATTGGCTTAATTTTTTTTTTTTTTCAGTGCGGAAATTTAAAATGGTCACAATAAACGAATATTACAATTTGGTCAGTAATGCTCATATTTTATGAAAACCTATTCTGTAAATGAATTTACAAAAAAAATCCGATCTTCTAAAGAGTGCGCAAAAAACCTGTGATTTTCGCCCGTTTTTTCACAAATTGCAGATAATTAAAAAAAAATATATAAAAATTTGTTTTTGGTCGCAAATTACTTGTCGTATAAAACTGAAATGAGCATAGCTTTTAGTATTTTGAATATTTTAAAAATCACCCCTACTAGGGGCTGAAAAAATGCCAAAAATGAAGAATTTGAATATTACCAATTGATATAAAAACTATTAGCTTGTGAATTATCTTAATATATTTTTTTTGGAATTTTTACAATTATTTCTGATATTCTCTATTTTTGGGGATGATTCCACCCCGTGAGCGCGCTTAATGGTGGATTTTCTAATTCAACATGCTTATGTCAGTCTTGAGAATAAATCTTTCTTTGTATCAAGATCCATCCGATAGAAAAATTCATATGCTAATATTTTTTATATTTATTGTTAATATTCAATTCTTCATTTTGGGCGTCTTTCCAACCCTTAAATAGGGGTGATTTTTGAACATTTTCAAAAAACTAAAAGCTATGCTCATTTTAATTTTTTGCGACGAGTAATTTGAGACCAAAAACATGTAAAAACACTAAATGTTGACTTTTTTTGTATTGATGGAGAACTGAAATGCTGTTTCTTTTCATTGTTTACTCATGAAAAATTAAGAATTTCTTTCTTTTGTTGTTTTAAATTAAATATGTTTAGCTTTTGTTAGTTTATGCTTTTGAACTCAACTAATTTGAGATTTGAAGACTCGAATATATAAATTTTGTTGAATATATTATTTTCGTACTAATCGAGGTTTACTCCAGCAAAATATACAGGGTGTAACTTTAAGTGAAGATCAATTTTTTTATGGGTGATAGTATGTGCTCCCCTGAATACGAATCCGAAATTCTTTTTTTTTAAGCAAATAAATAGTCGAATTATAATCAGTTCTTTAAAATGAACTTTAGTTCCTGTGTACGCCGTCACTGTATTCATGTATTACAATAATTACATGAATTGTAGGCAACTTACAGTGCATGCGAAGGGAGATAGCGTGGGTCAACGGTGACGAAGTTGTTGGTCAGCATTTAGAAACGCCTAACTGTGAATTTGAATGTTTTTCATTGTTCTTAAATTCTAAACGAACTCCGTATCCTGAGGTCCACATAGTTAAAAGTGGCAGGTTACGCATTTGACAGATTTATGGGAACAAATTCAGAGAAGTGTTACAAAAATCATTTGAGTAAACTGACTATTTATTTTTATGTATTTCATTTATTATTATTAATTCCTGCTCGAGTTTTTTGCAAGTTTATTTATTAAGCACTGTTCCAAAATTACTTAAACAAGTTAAATAAAAATCAAATTTTAAGACAGAATTTCAACAAATAAATTATTGATATTTGTTTTTAAAGGTCAAAGAAGCCCCACCCAAAGTTACATCCTGTATAAGGAAAAACATGTTAAGTATTTTTTCAAATGTTTCTATTTGGAGCTTATTTAATTTTTCCATTTCAATTTTTGTTATGAAAAAATTAAATGAAATGACGTTTTGAAATTTCTTAAACGTTAAAGATTCTTGGCAATATTTTTCGGGAAGCTTCACTTTTTCTTTTTAAATTTACAACTATTATGAATTTAAACATTTTTTAACCGTTTCCAGGCACAGGCAGTGTGAGTACCGGCTACCACACGCCCAACGTGGGCGCGGGCGGGCCCGTCCGCCTCACCAAAGACATGCTCCTCATATCGCAGAAACACCGAGCCGTCGACGTCAGGCCCAAATCCGAAACTTTCGCCAGGTAAATACCACTCTCCTCCCTCCACCCACGCACGCCTCTTGTCGCTTCGAGGCTTGCTCCCGACGGCGATAACCCCCCTCCCCCCCACCACCAACACTTTCCGCCTTAGTTAAATTGATTTTTTTTTTTTTTCGTTTGGTTTGCGTGTGGTTGTGTAGTATGTTCATGTACCGCGGCGGCACATCCTTGGCAGCGCACGCCGCATACAACTCGTACAACCCCGTATCGAGGCAGGACAGCGAGTTGCATTCGCTCAGCAGCCATTCGGACGCACGCACCGAGTCGGACAACATGTCCATGACGGACAGCTCCATGTAAGTACCCAGCAGGCGGTAGGTTTGTCGTAAATGTTCACGTCTTGGTGGCGAGTAACGATAAATTTACTAACTTGCAAAAGTCGTACCCAACAAATTTTTTCCTTGATTTTTTGAACCGAAGCGTACAAAATTTCCGTAAATGCCACCGGCTTCATTTTTTATGTCACAGTGCCGGTGAAAATCGCGTCTTGATATTTTTTTAAACAATTTTTAGATGCGGTTTTGGTAAAATGAATGAAAAATAACTTGGATTTTAGACAGTGCCGTTGTTGTCATATCACATCAGATGTATTGAAATTATGTAATGCACCTAAATAAGGTTAATTTAAGGGGTCACTGACACTGATTCACAAACTGAACACAGTGCTTTAAAATAATTGTAGCAAACTCTTTTTATTAAAAACTTTATAGGATTTTTTAAAATATTTCAAAACTATCAGAACAGTATTTTTAATGTTTTATAAAACAGCAAAAATTATTATTTTCAACTTGATTTCAATTTGGAGTTTTACATTTTTTTCTGAATGACGAAGTATTTTTTTTATTACGATGCTGTTCCATACGACATGGGCTACTTGTTTGTTTTCTGCAAAATATCAAGTAATTCATTTTTACAAAGAGTGCTTTGGAAACAAAACGTCCTGCTGTGACTCCAACCAAAATTTTGACAGTTCGGTTAAATTCTCATTGATGTCAAGGTTTTGAGTATCAGAAATGTAATTTTTACATGAGACAAAAGCCAGATATTCTTCGAATTGATTAAACAAGTTCGAAGAACGTCTCAGTTTTCCTCATGCGAAAATTGCATGTTTAGTTCTCTAAACTTTGACACTGGCGATGAAAATTTAACTGAACTGTCAAAATTTCATTTGTTTTGTTTTCAAAGCACTCTTTGTAAAAATGTATTATTCGTTATTGCGACGCAAAGAAAACGGTAAACTGTAATATATAACTATGGGATATTGATGAATATAAAAATACAAAAATCTAATGTAGCACCTTAAATAAAAAAGTAGAAGCTGAATTCTCACAAAAAAGTATCACAAGAGAACAATTTTTAAGTTTAAAAAGTTCTACACTTTCAGTTTCCGATCAAAAAAAGGAATTAGTTTTTTGTCAATGTCTTCAAAACAAAAAAAAAATATTTTAAATTCATATTTGGCCTGACAGCTCAAATTTAAACCACCTTTCATCTTTTAAGATAACCAATATACAGGGTGATTTAGAACTTATGCAAATAAAATTTTTTAATGTATAGAGGACTTATAAAATTTTGTAAAAAAAAATCAAAAAGGGCAGGTCGAAAATGATTTAAATATACAACGGACAAAAAATTGAAACAATTTCTTTCCCAAGGAAAGAAATAAATAAAATTTTATAACACCTATTTTATATCGGCAAATTCAACTGCTTTTGCCGCTATTGTTATTATTAATTAAAAAATTAATTTGTGGTTTTAATTAATAAAATAATTTGAAATAACTGATGTTATAACTGTTCAAAATTTTGTCCACCGACGTGTAAACATATTTAGGCCTGTCTTATCCAGTTTCTACAAACTAACAAAAATGTTGTCTTGCTTCATCATAAATTGAAACGATATCCATAAACTCCCAGTTGCTATAAACATAAACCATTTTTGATACCTGAAAAACTAATGTAAACCCTATCGCAAAAATGTTAATACTAAATCGGATTTCAGTATTTGGAATGGCATGGGCTATGTGGAGAGATAGGGCCTTGCGCACAGCGCACAACACGAGTGTCGCTAGAGATTACAGTAGCCCAGCAATGTAAGGGTTGAAAATACTACAACTTCAATAATTTTTTTCTCGGAAACTATAAGAATTTTACAATAATTTCTTTCACAATATTGATTCCATTTTTCATGACACACCTATTCCCAAATTTTTTTGGATGAGTTGTGGATCACCCAGTATAATAAATGACAAATAAAGCGGCAAAAATTGAGTGTTGAAGAAATAATACTTGTATCGATTACATTTTAATATACTTTTAACGATATACATAAGTTCTCAGAATAATGTAGTAATTATTTCTGTTGTAAATGGAACCACAGAATGTAATATCTAAGTAACCGGTCTAACGTTGGTAGAACTTCTAAAACTAGAAGGTATGGTTGCATGCGATTAATGCCTGGCATGTTTCCTACCCAATCGTTGCATTTTCTTTCTTAGAAGTACCTTTTTACTGACATGCATGTAGGTTTTTACGTAACGCAAATTTTTATTTTTTTACGATTTAATAACATTTTTTCCTGACTTTAAAACTTGACTTTTTTTTTTAATTTGTGTATGTATCTTTTTATTTTTGACTTAAATAGGCGTCGTACTGTTAGTTTTAAAAGAGTCTTTACGTATTGTCTGTCACGTAGCGACGGCAGATCCCTGGGCAAATCTTCCCGTCGAAAGGCGGTGCTGGAAGCAAGGAAGGCGAGGGAATATGCCGCCCTGAACCAGGAGACGCACATGCACCAGATCCTGATACCGAGGACGCAACGCGTCGACACCCGGCAGTGCCAGCCGATGGACAAGGAGGCTTTTGCCACCATCCTGATTGAGAAGTTGGAGATGGTGAAGAGGGAGCAGGACCAGCAGGAGCTGTTGGACAGGAAATTGAAAGAGGTAAAGGACGTGGCAAAGTTTTTACTCGCTTTTGGTTGTTGTTTTATTTTTCTATGCGTTTTTTCTCTCTTTCTTGTTTGTTTTTCCTCATTTTATAATTTTTTTTTAAATCCTAGAGCGAATCCATGGGCTCCATGAGCGACATCCAGTCCCGGGAGCTGGCGAACGCCATCAGAGAGAAGCTGCAGCTGGAAGACGACAACGACCAAGACATCCTCGACCAGCACGTGTCGAGGGTGTTCTCCGACCTGACGCCGGCCATGTCGCCCGGTGTAATGAGCCCGCGGCCCCATTCCCCTCCAAGGAACAGGTAAGTCTGATCGACTAAGCTTCTATTACTTGCTTTTTTCTGTCGCAAATTGTTTAACAACTGTTCGTTTCGGCAGACATATGCAGGGTTACAATCTACGACCCAGGAGGAAAGACAAGGACGGCTTTTCGACGTTCAGTAGCGATTCCGGTAACGTACACGACTTCGCGGAGGGTTCTGAGCACAAGATAGCTATGGTGAAGTCTAAGAGCATGCCGGAGTACCCCGAGGACCGCTTTATCAGGGGAAGTACGGGGCGACGGTGCGTATTCGTTCAATATTTATTTATTTGTTTGTTTTTCAGACTTCGATTGTACAGGATTGATCAATTGACATTTTCGGGAGTTCTTCCTGTCTCCCACAAAGTAGTTGAGATGTCTTGGGTTCGATTTTTATGAAAAAATTGAAATTTAGTCAGAGACATTAGAACTACTTTTTATTTTATTGGGTGACAAGATCGAGAACAAAGAGTACTTCAAATGTCAATTGAAATTTAGCTAGGGACATTTGACTTTCTTATGTTGTTGGATTACAAAAAAAAGTAGTTCAAATGTGATTTGTTGAAAAATTGACGTTTGCACATGCACATTTGAACTATTTTTATTTTCTTCAGTAGCACAAAAGCACAAAAGGTAGTTCAAATGTTATGGGCTTTTCAAGAGAAAAGTGGAAATTTAGCTAGGGACATTTGATCTACTTTTTAATTCTTTAGGTGATATTTGTGAATAATTGGACTCCAAAAACCACATCTCAATATCTTGATTTCATTTTTGTTTTGTTTTTGTGACAAAAAAATTTCCCAGTTTCTAAACTAATTGAAGATATAGAAATGGGATTTTTACAATTTTTCTTGAAAATCAGGCACGAGACATTTGGACTACTTATAACTAATACGCGAGAAAAACTTCGGCTCGATTTTTCTTGAAATTTGAACCATGACATATTACCTACTTTTTATTTTCTTTGGTGTAACATAGATCACAAAAAGTAGTTTAAATGCCCTAATCTTGATTTTTAAGAAAAAACTTATATTTAGCTAGGGACATTTGACTTTCTTATGTTGTTGGATTACAAAAAAAAGTAGTTCAAATGTGATTTGTTGAAAAATTGACGTTTGCACATGCACATTTGAACTATTTTTATTTTCTTCAGTAGCACAAAAGCACAAAAGGTAGTTCAAATGTTATGGGCTTTTCAAGAGAAAAGTGGAAATTTAGCTAGGGACATTTGATCTACTTTTTAATTCTTTAGGTGATATTTGTGAATAATTGGACTCCAAAAACCACATCTCAATATCTTGTTTTAATTTTTTTGTTTTTGTGATTGTTCTAAACTAATTGAATATATAGAAATGGGATCTTTATAATTTAAGTTTTCTTAAAAATCATGTACGAGACAATTGATCTACTTTTTATACGTTTGAATGAACTCGGTTCGATTTTTCTTAAAATTTGGACTGGGACATTTGAACTACTTTTTTATTTTCCTGTGAAACAATAGAAAAAGTTGTTCAAATGTACTGAGCTTGGGTTTTATTAAAAAATTGAAATTTAGCTACATTTGACTTTCTTTTTATTTTGTTGGATAAAAAAAAACAAAGTGCACATGCACATTTTTAAATTTTTTAAGTAACAAAAAATAAATACAAAAAGTAGTTCAGATGTCATGGGCTTAATTTTTAAGAGAAAAATGGAATGGTAGCTAGGGACATTTCATCTACTTTTTTATTTCTTTATGTGATACAAAAAAAGATATAGCAAATTATTGTCCAAATCTCTTAGGTCTGGATTTTTGTGAATAAAAAAAATCACATCTCAATATCTTGATTTTTTTGTCTTTGTGATAAAAAATTCCCTAATTTATAAACTGAGGATATAGACGGGATTTTTACAATTAAATTTTTCATAAAAATCAGACACAAGACGTTTGAACTACTTTTTGTTATATCATTCATATCTAATGAGAATTCAAACAAATTCGAATAACCGCGGCTCATATTTTTCTTAAAATTTGAACCGGGACATTTGAACTATTTTTATTTTCTTGAGACAAAAAAAGAGAAATAGTTCAAATTTCCTGAGCCTGATTTAAAAAAACAATTGAATTTACCTACCTTTACAAAGTAGTTCAAATGTGACCGGCACAATTTGTAGAAAAATTGGACTCTGCACATGCATATATTTAATTTTTGTAAGTAACTCGAAAAATAAGAACAAAAAGTAGTTCAAATGTCATGGGCTTAATTTTCAAGAGAAGAATGGAAATTTAAGTAGGGTCATTTGATCTACTTTTATATTTCTTTATGTGATAGAAAGATAGCAAAATGTAGTCCAAATATCTTGGGTCTGGATTTTTGTGAATAATTGGACTGCAAAAACCACATCTCAATGTCTTGAAACATTTTTCATTTTTTTTTTGTTTCTGTGATTGCGATTCCCTAATCTCTAAACTTAAGATATAAAAATGGGATTGTTACAATAAAATTTTTCATGAAAACCAGGCACAAGACATTTGGACTATTTTTTGTTACATCATCGTGTCTAACGAGAATTCAAATAAGTTCCAATAACCTCGGCTCTATTTTTCTTAAAATTTGAACTGGGGCATTTGAACTACTTTTTCACTATTCATAGTACCCAAGGACATAACAGGGTCAAGTAGGTCAAATAATGATTTTTCTTGAAAATAGAGCCAGTGACATTGAAACATTGCTTCTAATTTCGCACTTGCATCTTCGAATATGTGGAAATAAACAGAAAAACATCATGAATTTATTTTTTTCTCCCAGGTCCAAGAAGGCGCTGACCGACCTCACCGACAGCGGCGTCTCCGTCGTGTCCGACACGCCGCCGGTCATCCCGCCCGTGAAGGACAACCGGGTGCTCGCCTGGCTGATGGAGTCGGACAAGAGCGGCAGGGGGGCCAGCCACACGCACAGCGAGATGTCGCTGAAACACCGCAGTCATCGGACCAGCAGCGCCACCTCGCCGATCGCCGGCAGGCACCGCAAGGGGTTTGGGTCTAGGTCGGGCTCCCTGGAGAGGAACAGCGGGGCCGGCAACCTGGTGCCCGCGCAGCCCTTCGTCGCCGATCCCAGCATGCCGCCGCTGCCTTCGCCCAACATCTCCATCCAGTTGGAGGAGGCGAGGAGGAGGCTGGAGGACGACGTCAGGACCAGGGGAAAGCAAAGGTGAGATTGTGTTATAATATAAACAAAAATTGTGGGTAATTAAAACGTCAAATTGAAGAGCAAACAAAATCAGCAACGAGGTAAATGTGTTGTTGCATAGTTATTTTAAAAAATTGATAATTGAAGGGAAAAAGTTCGTTTTAGTTTCTAAATTTTTTTGGAAGTGAAAATGTTTTCCTGAAAAAATAATGTTAAAAATTTTGTTTCTATATTTAGTTTAATATTTTGTATCATCCCCGCTATTTAGCGGTGATTGGAAAACCAACTTTCAGCGTTTTGGTTAGTATCGCCTTCACTTTTTAGCGGTTTTTGAAAAACGAATCAACTTTCAGCATTGTTTCAGCGATACATTTCTTGTTGCTTCAGTAAAAAGATGACAAACAGGAGCTTGGTTGCTGCTTCATAAGATTTGTATGACTTAGTCATTTTGATTTGTATCAGCTCCGCTATTTGGCGGTTATTGGAAAACCAACTAAATTTCAGCATTTTGATTAGTTTTGTCTCTGCTTTTTAGCAGTTTTCGAAAAAATAATCCACTTTCGGCGTTGCTTTTAGATTGTCAATGGAATTATATATATTTTTTTTCAGTAAAAATATGACAGACAAACGCTTGGTTTCATTAACAAGAAAATGCTTAACTTAATAAGATTTGTATGACTTAGTGATTTAGGTTTATATTATCTCCGCTATTTAGCGGTTATTGTAAAACCAACTAACTTTCAGTGATTTGGTTAGTTTTGTCTCCGCTTTGTAGCAGTTTTCGACGAACGAATCAATTTTTGGCATTGTTTTTAGATTGCCAATGGAGCGATATATTTTTCGTTGCTTCAATAAAAATATAGCGAACAAACGCTTGATTGCATTAACAAGAAAATCTTCAACTTAATAAGATTTGTATGACTTAGTCATTTTGGCTTGTATCGTCTCCGCTATTTAGCAGTTAATGGAAAACTAACTAACTTTCAGCGTTTTGGTTAGTATTGTTTCCGCTTTTTAGCGGTTTTTGAAAGAGGAATCAACTTTCGGCATTGTTTTTAGATTGTCAATGGAGCGATATAGTTTTCGTTGCTTCTGTAAAAAAATGACGAAGAAACGCTTGGTTTCGTTAACAAGAAAATATTTAACTTAATATTTGTATAATTTAGTCATTTTGGTTTATATAGTCTCCACTATTTAGCTATTATTGGAAAACTAAGTAACTTTCAGCGTTTTGGTTAATATTGTCCCAGCTTTTTTAGCGATTTTTGAAAAAATTTTTTAAATTATTAATGAAGCGATATATATTTTTCGTTGTGTCAGTAAAAAGATGACAAACATACTCTTGAGGTCATTAATAAGATGTTTAATTTAATATAATTTTTATGATCTAATCATTTTGATTTGTATCGTCACCGCTATTTAGCGGTTTTTGGAAAACCAACCAACTTTTTTTTTTTATATATTTTTCGTTACTTAGGCAGAAAAATGACGAATGAACAAATATATCCGTATAAATAGCATGACGATATCTTTTTTAGGACTTTTTATAACATGTAAAATTATGGAACATACAGAGTGTCACGAAAAATTGAGTATTGAAATGTAGAAAATTAAAAAATAGTTGTTGTTTGCTTGATATATATCAAGAACAGTTTTGATAAAAAATTATAGTTTCCGAATGAGTTTTTTTTTTATATATTTCTAAACCGAAGCTGTTTGGGTGTTTATAATTTTCGAACACCCTCTATATTTCACAATTTTGTTTATATAGTCGGTTCTAAGTCGTCGACAAACACTTTTTTTTTGATATTTCTGTTCGTTTGCCAACCTTTTACTCTAGCAAGGAAAAATATATCGTACAAATGAATTTTACTAGTTTCGTTGAAACATTCTGAACATTTCATTTTGTGCGTCCAGGTCATCTGGTAGGTTTTATCCGGAGGTCACCCAGAGCAGCCAGTCCACGCTGAGAAAGTCCATGAGGGGCTCGAGGCCCTCTGCACCGGCCCAGATGGCTACGGACGACGTCACCACCGTGGTGTTCTCCTTCTGCGAGGAACAGTTCCCGTACAGGACGAAGATACCCGGTACTCAGATCACCCTCAGGCAGTTCAAGGAGTACTTGCCGAAAAAGGGAAATTACAGGTAGGAATGAAATCGTTGATCTTATGCCCGAATAGTCGTCAAATTGGATGGAAAGTCTGTTTCCTTTAAATCCCAACCTTATTTCTTGGATCCTTTTCTGAATTTCTTAAATTAAACTGGTTGACTAATACGGTAAAACAGGTATGATGTACGTTGCTGTTGTACTGTGTTAAATTCTAAACGGTTTCGGATCTACGTGGATTTACGTTTGGATGTACGTGATCTAGAAATTTCAGAGAGCTTTTTTAAATTCCGGATGTGATTGCTGAAAAATTTAAATCGATACACATCTTGTATCTGCGCAAACTGTAAAATATTTTAAATCCACTTAGAAAACCTGGAAATATTGGGGAATTTTTTGGTCAAATTTTAATATACACTCTGTATATTCTTATAGCTAGCTTCGTCTAGCCGGTGGATGCCATCAAAGTTGGCGAAATCCAAATAACCTTAAAACGCTTTGCAAGTAATTGCATTTACGGAAACGGGAAGAATGTTTATTTTAAACGTGAAGACAGGTTTTTTTCTCTCTTGCAAATTTTTTGTATTCCCAACGGCATTCGCATAATTAAATATTTTGTTAAACTGATGATATTCCGGGAAGCGACTACTCTGCGGACAGTCTGCCCTGGCCAACGTTGAATTATACTTCGTCAGGCGAACCGCCAGACGTATACCGGTTTCAGATACACTCCCGCTACTGCCATTTGCTTGTTGTCAACATATTTTCGATACAAATTTACAATTTATTTGGTTGTATTCGAATATTTAATTTATCTCATAATAAAAACCAATAGGATTTAGGTAAGCGCAGTATGACGGCACAGTCGAATACAAATCGGTACAGTTGCATTACAAATTCAATGTTTATTTTAACATAAATTCAGGGAAGTTTTTTCTCTAGTAAATATTCCATATTCTTAACGATTTTCTTGTAATTAATTATTTTGTTAGTTATCGCCAATACGTTTTTCAAGCAAATCGCATTCGTCATCGAAAATTTGATTTATTTGATAAAAAAGAAAAGCTTTTTTAAAGGTACAATAATTCGTTTTAAAATCGCTTTCAATAAAATTCACTTGTATCGTTATATATAAACTGACGAATAGGATTCAAGTAGGCACAGTATGGTGGCACAATAGAATACAAGTCAGCATGGTTGTTGAATGACAGTATGTCCGTAAATGCTCCAAATTCATTATAAAAGAGCATACATCCTTACCGTGATGGCAGTTGACAAAAATATTATTAGACTTTAACGGTTCAGTTTATTTTAAGAAATTCATGTTGTTATTACGCCTGGTCCTTATTTTCCCTTCCCACGTCGAACCTAGGAAGAATTTTTACTGTTAGTATATTTATTATACAGTGTGTTAGAAGTTCGACTGTCATAATTTTATTAGACGACAGTATACATCATCAATATACCGTTATTGAGAAAAAAATTTCCAAATTCTTCGAGTTGATGTACAAAAGTTTGATTAATTGTGCAACGTCGATGCACAGAATAAAATAAAATGCAAAATTTGACTCTGTTTTAATATTTTATTAAAACTTAGTTTTTTTAATCAATAAAATTCGATAAAGGTGATATCGCGCAGACTGGCAACAGTGCGACGGAATGACGGTGGTACGCTGTTCAGTTCCGCTGGAGCATTATCATTGTCCTCTACGGTAGCTTCGTAATAGGACATTTGGTGAAGTATCTCAACGTCTTCTTGATATTGGTAGTGTTCTTCCTCGCCCTGAAAATCGTGGCTCAAATCGAAGAAGACATTTTAGACATTATTGAAAGTAACTCTAAATATTGTTCTTAGAGTATCGCTGGAGATGTCGGAGCACTTCACCAGATCGTCCAAAGGGTTTTACGAGAACTGTTATTATATCAATGTCATTTGTAGCAGGTTCAAAAATTGTAAGCTGGAGATTTCGCCCTTTAGTTAAATCTTTGCAGATGATTTTTTTAACTAAAACGTGACTTTAAAAGAGTTTTGCTGTCTCGGAATTAGTTCAAACGATTCGACTCGCACTGTTGCCAATTTGTGACAAAATTCTAACGCACAAGACACATAACTCGACGAAAGTAAATTTTTCCGCCTCTTTGCGCCCCTCCAATTTCCTTTCCTAAAATTTCCTGGTTGCCGACAACAAAAAAACGTTCCCGTTGGTTTTTTACGAGTCGTGTTGTACTGAAGAGCTTACGGTGGTTGCAGATACTTTTTCAAGACGGTGTGCGAGGAACTCGGCAACCAAGTCATCCAGGAGGAGATCATCAACGACGGGGACGTGCTCCCGCTGTGGGAGGGGAAGGTGATGGCCCAGGTGAAGCCAATCGACTGAGCTTTTACGTTTTCGCAACGTATAACCTAAGAGATAAACGGACGAATCTTCACAAGCTTCTATTTAATAATGTAATTATTAGATTTGTTAATTTTATTCAAAGTAATTTATTTTTTATTTGTTAAAACTGTGTGTATCTTATAAAAAAAATGACGGAGCATTACGGGAACGGAAGGATACGGCGGTGGTATTACATCGTCATTTTTCTAAGTGTCTTAAAAATGACGGTTGATATCGAGAGGTCGTCGCTCGCTTCCATTTCCGGAGGGAAATAAAAAAATTATTTGTTCACACTGCCACGTACGGTTAAATTTTAATGTGTCGGTACTTCCTAATTTTCGTGCACACGTAAGTAATGGTCTAATAAATTGTAATAGTGCTTTCTACTTAGCCTAACGGTAAGACGCCTAACTCAGACTTAAGAGCCACATCGACGGAATCGTCCCACGAGACATGTAAATATTCGTGAAATTACCGGCGAGGACAGCAAACGATACAAGTCTTGATAATTCTTTCAATTGACAAATTTTTCAACCCCTAGGTAACTTTTTTTTGTACTTTTATATAAAATGAATGTGAAAGCTTCATATAATTTTGCGTTAACAAAATTATCCATGAAACTCTTTCCCATTCGCTTATATTTACATTTGTTGTCCCGTCGGTCCGTAAACTCAAAAATCGTCTGACTGAGGATACCGCATAGCGTATTTAGTTTTTTTATCAAAGGAAAAGTTAGAGTTAAAATTCTTAAAGGTAATTTATTTATTGTTATTTAAGGGATAGCGTAATGATTAACATTCGTGACGAGTGTTGGACTTTTTTTCTGATTCGGATAGAGATCGCTATGTTAAAGGAAAAAACACGGCAATAATAACCTGTAAATCGTTTAAAAAAGTAGGTGCATATGTAAGTGCCTTCGAGTTTTGGAATTTGTTTTTCTTCCACTGCAACTTTCTTCTTCGGCGGCCGAAAGACGGTGACAAAAATAATTTGAAATCACAATAAGACAATTTCCATTTACGCAGTTCTTATACTGAGAAATAAAAACGCGGAAACCAAATTTTTTGTGGGAGTCATCGTTTTGTGGGCCGCGCCACGTTTGTTTCCGTTTCTAGACAATCAGATGCTACGGTCGACGGTCGACCGCCCAGGCAGCTCTGTAATATTTTTTTATTTTCAGATTACTAGCGTAGATGTTCATATACCTCATTTTTCTTTATATTTTATAAAAAAAGTATATATTTTACAAAGAAATATACATAAGCATTTTGTGAATAATTTACTATTTACTTAATTTGTACATTTTAAGCGTAGAACTGATCGGTAGAGTTGTTTTTCTTTTGGAAATTTAAAAAGAGCCTTTTTACACAGTCCTTCGACACTTCCACTTTACAACGAACTGATTTCCGTAGCGACCCCTCGGTTTCGTTTCGCATAACTGAATACTGAAAGATCCCCGTCCGTTAACGGACGGTCTTTTTTTTATAATTTCTCATGATCGTATTATAAATACTGTGAACGTGTAGATAATGGTTTTCAAATACTTATTTTTATATAGTATTTTTTCACAAAATAGTAGCAGTATTTTAGCGTTAAAATGAAATTGTTACAGAAAGGTGCCATAATTTCGTTTGATTTCCAAAAAAGAAATGGCCAGAATTAAAGTTACTGCTGACAAAATATAAACCTTCATTTGTAAATATTAATTGTACACTAAAAAAACACTCATTTGTCTCATATTGTTATAAATATATTAGTATTTTCTATTCCCTTGCTTTATTCCCCATCGTACCTGATGAATTTCAACAAACCACAGGGACATAAGCCAACAACGTTTGGTAAGTAATGAAAAATGTATGTAATGACTCCTGAAGAATTAAGTAAGTTAAATGCTGGGGTTAAAAATCATTTTTTTCTACAATGATCTTGATATTTGTTTATTTTTTTTGCATATACATCGTTGCTATGTTATATTTTTTATTGTTCATCTTGTATAATCGTTACAAAAGGGCGCGCCTACAAAGCTACTGACATAAATATGGTGTAGTCGATGTACACGTATCAATAGTAGAAGAAGAAGAAGAAAGCTAAGGCGCCTTGCTTTAGTTCAAAAGTATTTGTTGGTAGGTTACTATGGTACCCGAACCATGGCACAGTCGTGTGAAATTTTAAACAAATACGCTTATTTATATTTTTTATTAATGTGGAAATAAGGTCTGTTCCAGTTCCCAGACGAAACAAGATATCCTGCGTTTATTGAAAATTTTTACACATTTGATATAAAATATCAATTTATAAAACAAAACGGAAAGTGACAAAAATAATAAAGTGGAGCTAATTATAATTGAACATATAAATAAACAGACCTTATTTGCACTATTTGGTAACATAAAAATAATATATATAGGTAGGCGTATTCGCTTAATTTCACAGAATTGGACGGCCGTTGTCACAAAACATAAAATAGAGCTGTTGTGTGGAATGCCTCGGAGCATACATTACATGGACGAAGCACCACGTGTTAAAAAGTGTAGATGCTGTAGAGAGAAAAGGCGATAGTTTGCGTACTCTCTAATCGTTGGGGAAAGGGATGCGTTAGCCATTCACGTGCCTGTGCGAGAGAGAAAGGTTATACCTAAACTCTTTGTCACATGTCTACACTCGCCATGTGTGCTTTGTGGAAGAAGAAGAAGAGAACAATCTGCATTTCGTTTTAGTTCAAAAGTATTTGTAGGTTAAGTTGTACTTGTACTAAATTTGTAGCTTTTATGATTATTATAAATTAATTATTTAGTTGTTTATCTGTTAACAAACACAAATTAAATTTGAAAGCTTCAGAGTAAATTCGGTAAAAAAGTGATTTCAAGAGTTTCGCAAGAACCATAAAATCAAACGAAAAGTACAAAAAGGTATTTATTATAGTACACGTGTATAAACAGTTCAGTAATGCAACATATTTCCCTTATTTTTCTTAATGTTTCTCTTCCAAACTTTGTAAAACTTCACCCAATCGGGTTTCTTTACGCTCCTTGATAAATTTACTAGCCAATATTTCAAACTGTAAAAATATCTATTATTACTTAAAGTTTACGAAAACCTGTATATAACCATCAAAAAATATCAGTGCTGAAATTGAAATAAAAATATAGTAAAGTAGTATACGAAGGAATATAAGAATGATTGTTATTAAAATTACTTGTTGTATTTGTAAAAACCCTCCCCGGATTTTCTACCAAGCTTTCCTTCGCTCACTAGTTTCTTGACTGAGGCGCACGGTTCAAACAGTGGGTTGTCGGGGAACTTTTTATGCCAACCTTCGGAGATACTAAGAGAAGTGTCGTGACCTACGTAATCGGCCAGTTCGATAGGCCCCATGGGATAACCCGCTCCTAATTTCATGGCAGTGTCGATGTCTTGAGGAGAGGCGTCACCTACGAACCACGAAAAATGTAAATTCATATCAGTTCTCACGTTGTTTTTTTAATTACCTCTTTCCATCATCCTTATAGCTTCAGCCATGTAAGGTACCAGCAACCTGTTCACCACAAACCCAGGCGTGTCTTTACAAGTGATACAGGTCTTTCCGACGGCTTTCCCCCAAGCCATCAATGCTTGGTACGTTTGTTCCGACGTGTCAGGAGTCCTTACGACTTCCAACAGTTTCATTACGGGCACGGGGTTGAAGAAATGCAGCCCTCCGAACCTGTCCTTCCTATTAGTGACGGATGCTATTTCTGTGATTGACAAAGAGCTTGTGTTTGACGCAAAGATCGTTTTAGGAGGCGCGACTTTGTCCAAGCTCTCGAAAAGCTTGTGTTTTACCTCCAGTTTCTCTACGATGGCCTCCACGACTAGATCGCTATCTGCGACGGATTCTGAGGTGTTCGTAGAGCCCTTGATACGCGACTGTGTTTCGTCCACGAATTTTTTGGCTGCCGATGCATCGTCCTTGTAGAGTTTCTTGGCGACACGAGATAAGCTGTTGGCTATGCTGCTTTCGGCTTTTTTGAGGATGTCGGCATTGACTTCTACCAGAGTTACGTTGTGTCCGGTTTGAGCAGCAACCTGATTTTAGAGTTAATGTTAAATATAAATCAAAATTTAGTACAGAAATACTACAATCTCAGATAAGTGGCTGATAACTGTTTTATTGCTTTGTTATTCAAGGAATTCTTTCGATTAAAATGAGCACCATATGGACTAAACCCAATTTTCTGTACAAAATTGTTATACTTGAGCTGCAATATAAGCTTAGGATCTGATAGGGATAAGTTCCTCATATACAGAAATAAGAAAATAAATTTTTAAATTACCTGGGCAATTCCAGAGCCCATCAGGCCACCGCCGATGACCGTGACGTTTTTTATGGCGTTTCTGGAGGCGCTGGTGGACATTTTTCTTATGAAGACACCTAATGCTGCCATACTTTATGCTGGTTGTATCACTTCCAAGTGGTCGATAAATACTATTTTCAATATTACACTCGAAGTTGTTTACTTACCTGCTCTAATCTAACAAGCCGGTACAAAGATCAAAGTTCAAAAGTCGTGCTTGGAAGAAAGTTTAAAGATTAGTTAGGTTAGGTTTTAGTTTTAATAGCAGAAGTGGTGGTGGTAGTAAATACAGCAGTGGCCGATAATTATTATTTAAATCACGTTTTAAATATAAATGTGAACTTCAATGTCAAAAGCTGACAAAAAAATTGCGATAAACTCATACGTAGATCTAACATGATGGATAAGCTCCAGATCGAATTAATTTTCAAGTTGGTTTTCATTTATTTTCTCGTTATAGAACTCAATATTATTATCACGAAATAGATTTTTAACATTTTAAATACTCATAACTGATATATTAATTAAAAAATATATTCGTAACTTTACCGAATAAAAAATATAAATTTGGTAAATTTAAAATTCTTCTTCAAGTAGTTCAAGTTTGCATTGGGGGATAAAAAAAAAATACACCATACCAATATCACCAATTGCCAATAAATTTTTCGATTAGTGAAATGGAAGGCACACTTGTGTCAATCGAAAAAATCAAACTGCATTAAATAATTCCAAATTTTCGTACCGCCATCTATCGCTCAGAAACTATACTAAACTGAGTAAGAATTATTTAGCAGGTAGGCAACTGTATTAGCTTCACATATGCTGCTAAATTAATTGACGTTTAATGAATAGATGGCGCCACACCTTCGTTCCCAACACAGTATACTAATCAATTATACTGTGGTTCCCAATAGAAAGAACATTAAATAAAGATTTTTTTTCTTAACGGTCACTTGCAGAAAAACCGACTCACCGACTGTCCCAGTGTGTTCAGTGACCCAAGCTACGTGCAATACCGTCTATCGATATCCTCGAAAAATTTTAGGTCAGAAAAATCTGAAAAAATTACAGTGAACTGACGGCCCTAACCAATCCAAAACTGCATCGAGTTCCTCTCTAGCTTCTCCAGTTTCCGAAATTTTCGATATTTTTCATTATACAAGATTTTTCCAGTTGTTATTATTTAGATTTTAGATAATTTGTATATATAAATATCTACTCCTTTACCCCTCAGTTCGTAATATCCTAATGCAAATTAATTTTTAAAAGAAATATAATGTATTTATTTATTCTATTAAGGTTTACTACATTTTGAATATGTTGTATTGGGATAACAGACTGTCGACCGCTTGATAAAAAAAATGATAGATACTCTAATGTCAAAATTTATATTTTTAATGAACAATCTGTCAAGATTTTGTAAGAATCTTATATTTTTTGTGCATCACGTATCGGGATCGCAGAAGTTCGAAGAGGTATTTGCTACAGTGATTCTATACAAGACAGTGGCGACAATAGAGTGTATCATTTTTAATTGGTCCACGTGATTTTAGCTGCCATGTTGCATCCAGTGTCAAATTCATCTGTGAAATGTCATGATGTCAGGAGAGTTCTTATGGTGTTATTCAATATTTGTATTGTTTTATTTTAATTTTGGTGATTACTAGTGAAACTATTGGGTATTCTGTGCTAAGGGATAGTTATAATGTCTGCAGAAGCTTCATGAGGACGACGACCGTGAATTTCTTTCAGGCTTTTTGGACACCATTACAAAAAATATAAGACCTAATTATAAGGAAGTTAAGGTTCCTGCTAACATAGAAGAACTAAAATTGAATCTTAGTTTTAGTGAATTAAATTATCTTTATAATGTGTGCGGATATATTGCCCAAAGTATCGTTAAAACGTCAAAAACTTGTACAAACTGTCTGCATGCATGCTGTTGGTTCTAAAACGCAGATCTATAAAACATGTTCAAAATTTAGCGTACTTAAGAAATTTAGAGAACATTCAGTCTTTTTTGCAATGAAGCGGTACTTTGTTTCTTCTTGCAGATGGAAAGTACTTTTACAATATTTTTTGCGATTGAATCTTGACAAAACATAAATTTAAAAGAGTTTTTCTTAAAAGAAATGTCTAGTTTAAATTTAGATCTACCAAATTGTCATCAGATCAAAAATAAAATTGTTAAAAGATTTATTATGTTTCGATTAAAAATTGCTTCCAAAAAATGTAAAAAAGCATGCATAAAGCTTGCAAGTAAAAGTGTTGCTGGACATTTATTGTAACAAATACTATCACTAGTATTATGTATTCGTTTTTCTAATGTAAACCCAATAAATTTCATTGTGTAATGTAGGTATGCATAAATTTACTTGCCTAGAAAATATAAACCAATAGTTATTATTATATATTTATCCTTCCCTATTGCGCAAGTAGATTTTATATTCATTCATTATTTAAAATCACTTTCCAAGGGAGTTATTTGCCTAAAACTGTGCGTAAAATTTAAAAGAAAAATACTTTTGTACATAATGTATTTTTTATAAAAGTTACTTTCAATTTGACATTGGATGCAACATGGCGGATGGGCGGGGTTTAGTCGCTATTGCCGCTACTGTCTTGCATATAGCCACTGTAGTATTTGCCATGCCTGATTAAAAAAAAGAATGGCGTATTCTGGAGAGGTCAAAGAGACATTTTGGTTCTTAAAATTATGAAAAAATCAAGTGAACTATAACGCCCCTGACCAATCCAAAACTGCATTCAGTTCCTAACTACCTCCTCCGATTCTCGATTTTTTTATCCTTACGGTTTAATTTAATATTTGTTAGGTAGGCAACATACATTACAATGCATGTGTATACTTGGCTGCATAATGTTTATATTTTATAAATTGCTCGTGGTAAATGCATTAAAAATGAACACAATTATAAATAAATGTTTATTTACTGAACAGTAATATAATGTCTGTATTTTCTAATGTAGCTTGACAGTTCATAATAAAAAGACATGGGAACAAAACATCTCACACAGAAAAAAGTTTGTTCCTTTTCAATACAGCCAATGCGATAATGTTAAGAGCTACTTTACAATTGCTCCATACATTCTTCTTAGTTTTTATCACAGGACATTTTTTTTTAACAAAAATTGTCCCTCAATTTGCAGAATAAAAATTAAAATTGAATCAGAATTTCAGCACTGACAATGTCTTAAAACTTGTGGGTAGAAGTTAACGCATAAATAAAACAAAAAATTTTTTAGTCTTCCTTTGTTTATTTACAAAGCAGAACAATACAAGCATTGTATGTATATACTACAAATTACTAAACGTGATTTGTAGTCCAAGCAATGAAGGTCGATAAACGGTTTGCCCTGCAAAAGGCTAGAGAAGGTTAAATTTAGCAGATTTATAGAGCAATGGTTACTTATTGCCGCTCTTAGTGTGAAGCGAAGATATTTGGAAAAAACAAACTTATTATAAACCGCAGCATTTCAAATGCCGAAAACTTGAGGCGATAGTAGGCACGTAATGCTCTATAAACTGGAATTTAAAATCGCTCTGATCTTGCGCAGGACCTATCTCTTCCCGTTGCCCGGACTATCGGGTAAATCGGCAGCACATCAATAGTTACCGAGACTCCAATACAAACCAAACGTGTAGAAAAGGACGTCCAACCGACTTACCGAATTAACTTCTACGGATTCTTTTACTTACTAGAATAATTGTGGCAAGTCAAAGAAACGTCATAACTACAAAATCCAAAAGGGAATTATATACACATTTCCTTATCTCACAAAAAACCATACTTCAAGGTACAGAATAAATTACAAAAATAAATTAAATCGACGTACACAATGATCTCCTACATATACATAGTTACATTTCGGGTTATCCCCAAGTCTTCTCCTTCAGCTTGATATTTCTCATAAAAAAAACAAACGGGTTATACTCGAGACGCGGCAGCGCTGGCCGTTGAACGGGACAAGCGGTTAACTATACCGTAATTCGAGACTACAGCCGTCCGTACCTAATATCACCATTACGCGATTATTTTGATACTAAACCTAAGTCATGATATAAACGTTACCGATCAGATAACACCTCCGCATCAAGAATTTTGCCGTCACGGACATTAAAAGCTAACGTTTCTTGGTCTGCAGTCTTACATATAAGTTATGGGGGTAACGCCCAAAAAGGTGTCACCGCCATAGGGAAGACGGATAATGTAAATATAACGCTCGCGCTCAAGGCGAATAAAGGGCAAGTCGTTCGTTATCGTTATGATGTTCTTTTGATATCGGCAGGGGATATAATGATTTTTTCGAGAATTTAAAGTAGAACACGTTTGATTTTGATTGTATAACGTTTACGACAATGAATAATGATATTAGAATCATGAGTGTGCGAAATGTACGAAATTAGTATTTTTTATACGAGGAATAAAACAATTTTACATTTACACGAACTTCATTCTGCCCTTCATCTTTGAGCTAACACTCGATCACACTGGATAAAGTACGTAGGACGATTTCACCTCGATTATGGTAGAGTTAACCGAACGAATTTTGACCACAAAAACGAACGTTTCTCTCCTGAATTTGTTTTTTAAGACGAACAATCCTGTAATTTCTACATGCAGTTTATATAAAAAAACGTTGTTGAGCAATTCTCCCGAACTCTTGTCTTTTTGAGGTAGTCTGTAACGGAAACGTTACTATTTTTTTTCTATTCGCCGACAAAAACCTTGCCCTAACAACTCGCCGACTTCCGAGTTTTTTATATGAAACTTTTTGTAAAATCGCGACCTTCCGACACTTGCTTAATACGTTAAGATATAACTTTCACCGACTGCTTCTTCGTCGGAGTTCAAGCGGCGAAAGAGTAATGGCACTATGTCTACGGTTTTTTTTTATTGCACTTCTAGACTTCGTATCGAGTGTTCGCCGCACGACCACCGATACCGCCGACATATAATAAATAAATCACAATTTTTTATGTGCCGCACAATGTTTGCTTGTTCCTTCAGATAATGTAACTCGGAGCGAGGCTCGACGGGGGAAATCACAAATTTTACTCGTCACAAAATGCCAAACTTTATAGAAAATGTAAATCCGAGACATCAGAATATTTATAGATTTAGAGAAATGTACAGGATGTTTTGAAAAGATGTGTCATAAATTCAGGGTCTGAATATATTTCTTAAAAAATAAAATATATTGAAGTGAATTTCTTGAAAATGCTAAAAACGTCAATTATTTGACATGTTAGCTACAATCTTACTGATGTTTCGCTAATTGTAGCGGAATCCGCTATCTGAAGCACATGTAGCTGAGCAGTGACAGAACAAATGCGGTGAAAATGTAGTGAAATCGTAACAAAATATAAAAACAATCGAGCAGAATGACATTCAGTGTTGCCAACAATAGTGGAATTTCTCTATTTTTAGCGGATGTAGCCGAGTTTTCCTTTCGTAGCGGTGGCAGAACAAATTTAGCCAAAATGTAGTGAACTTTTTATAAAACACACTAGTAAAGTCTAAGAAAACTTTAAAAAATTGGGTTTGATAGTAAAATTGCAACTAGCGGAATTTCGCTAGCTGTAGCGGATAGCGAATTTTCTTTTCATAGCGATGCAATTTATTCATAAAGTAGTTTTTAGTAAATTCTAACAGAATTAACCAAATAATAAAGAAGGATTTACGTTTTACTGAAATTACTAGCAAAATGAAACTTTTTTGTTTAATTTTGTTTTTCAACACATTTTTCTATGTAATTATAAATTATAAAAAATTAATTAAAACAGATAGAAATTTATCTAATTTCAACAATTTATAGCAAAATTTATTTTGTTTCGATTATGCGAAGTTGTAGCGGTGTAGCGGAATTTTTATAAATGATTCTATGATTGGCAAAACTGGCGGCATTGTAACAATTATTTTTGTGGGTTAATTTTTTGCATTTTCTTTAATTGACTGAAAATGCATCGTTATTGAAAAAACACAATCGACTGTGTCAAAATCGACCAATTGCCGTCTCAAAGTACCGCTTTTTTATCAAATACATTGGACGCACTCAACCAACTTCTTAAGAAATTTAGTTTAACGGAATTTGCTCGATAAAAAAGCGATGATTAGCGATAGAAATTGGGTTTGCTTTAGCACGATCGATTTTTTCCCTAATTTTCAACATTTCAATAGAATTTTGTTTTTAAGTGAAATTTATGGGAAACAATCCAAAAAAAAATTTAAGATTCTCAAAAGCTTATTTTTATCAAATTAAAGGTTAGAGTTCCGCTAATTTTAAAATATATAATAAAAATTACACTTTTTGAGGTCTTAGTAGCCTTTGAATTTCTGGCACCTTTTTCCAAAACACCCAGTATTACTACAAGAGCAGGCATATCCACATCAAGCGAAATTTACTGCAGAAAACACAAAAAATTGTATCACGCTAAAAAATTTCAAATGTGTTAAACATGTTTTTGCCGCCATTTTACTTGACAATTTTTAAAATGCCAATTTGTGTGGGAGCGGAACAGAACGAAGTATTTGCGCCTTCCCCGTCATCCCTCGCCCCGCCCAAGAACTGCGACATCAGATTGCACCGAGACAACAAAATGTTACGAAAACAACTACGGTAAAGGAATGAGAACCACGCAATGACATAACGGAACAGTCCACAACGGTTCGCCTATAAAATTTGCTAAATGTTACTTTTTACAGTGTTTTTTGTTTGGATCGGATGGATGTTACAAGTACAATATCGTAATATCATCTTAACACAAGTTCGTTTTTTTAACGTCACTTAAAAAAACAGAAATTGTGCAAATTTTCTTCTGCATCTACTAATTTTTTTTTTTTATTATTTTGTCTTCATTAAACTTTTAAGATTATTTATCATCGCTAAGGCTAGTAGTTTATAGCTAACTAACTATAAAAATAAAAACAATAACTATTAAACTCATTAAAAAATACAAAAATAACAAGTCACTTTCTATCGAATAAATAAAACCTAGACAACTGTAGTGTAAATCAAGTACGGTGGGACGTCGACTGCCCGAACGCCGCCCAAAGGAAGCGCAATCGAACGGGGAGGTCTGGCTCAAACCAGTTTTAAACTTTCAAATCAAAATACCATGACGACATTCCCAAAAGATCCCAGTTACCCTTGTTCGCAGCATCAATCGCTGGTCGATCAAATAGCGGTACGTTTGAACTACCGGCATGTTACGAGAAACGTAAGCATTAAAAATTAAAAGTAATTACGGATTTTGCTCGCGTACATATCGTATGAAATAAATACAATTTTAAGACTACCGTGACGTCCGCGATCGACCCGGAAATCGACATCCCACCGTAAAACCCAAAGACTATCAACTATCCCTTATATCATATGCAGCGCCTACTAATTTGTATTGTTGACTAATTCTTCCGACAAGGAAAAGGTGATTGTCGTACCGGTAAAGAAAACGAACGGAAAAAAATCCAATCGATTTTTTTTTATTGACGTAAACTCACTTTTTCCATAAAAAAAAACGTAATCGGAAATAATATCAATACAGACAGGTTCGTGTTTGGGAAACCACAGAAATTAATGAACAACACAAACCAGCGTCATTTTTTTTTGTTTTCATATATCACACATACTGATTAAAGATAATGCAAATGTTCTGTCGATAGTAGAAAGAGTTGGAACCCTGGAAATGTTCATTGTTCACAGTGTTAATCGACACCATAGTCACTATCCTGTTCTGTAAGTAACTAGCTATATGGGCGTATTATAATTATTACATACTCTTTTTTTTTTAGACTAGTTGAAATTTAAATTTGTGCTTCAATTCAGTAACCTGGAAAAAAAAGAAACAGTTCTGCATTATATGAAAAACAATAATTGAATAATTAACTAATTTCCCTCCTCTTTTACTGATACTGTCAACTAAAAATCCCTAAATCTTAGCTTCACCAATGTTAACGATTCGTTTACAATGAACGATGACAAACTGTTACATCTACGCTTGAGATAATGCGATTCCTGATCGGTTGAGTGAAATGTCGTGAAAAATTAGACCAAACACCAGCCGATGAAACAGAATGTTGTGGTTTAATGTAATTTTAATCCTATTGTTTCAATTTTTGTAAAGGAAATAAATTTACTGTTCCAAGCAAAGTTACTGGTACGCCTTGTAATCATTAGAGGCTCTATGGAGTGTAGACAGGGAGTGAAGACTCTTATGGATCCCGTTTTATGTCTCCAGTTAAAGTTTAAGGAGTCGCTTTGAGCGCCGATGCACTGGAGTGTCCAGTAATCAAGTTGCGCTTACAACGTCTTGCGTCTTTTTCATACTCTACTTACTTACATCAGCGCCGCCTTCACGTGACCTAAGAAAAGGCTCAATTTTTTTAACACGGAGTCTTTGATCCTTTTATACACCCTACAAGCTCTGTACTTGTAGTACCGGTTGCATACGGCAAGCACATGTGTAGTACCGGTTGCATACATATTTACATATGTGTAGTGCCAGTTGCATACAGCATGTAAATATGTGCATTACTGGTTGCATACTCCGTATATATGGTATTTGGCCAAGGTGATTTCTTAAAAGGTGTAATCAAATTTTATTTTTATTTTAGTGTTTTTGACTTGGTTGCATTCCGTGCGCATATAGAATATTTTTTTTATCATCCGAGTTGAAAATGCAGAAATAAGTCGAAAACGCTTAGATTTATAAATGACATTTATAAATTTCGAACATAAAAGAGGGGGTCTCAAATTAGAAAAAGGTATTTTTTGTTTCTGATAAATTTTGAGGAAAATTATTTTTTTTTTCATCAGAATCGGAGCAAAAAGGAATTTATTGTCATCAATTTAATTTTTTATGGGCCCATCTTTCATAATTTTGTAATTTTTATTATTTTATTATTTTGATTCGAGTTTTGATCTCATTTCAGCTTTTTTTTTGTTTAGTATTTTATCGTTACTTAATTTTTTTCCTTTCTATACTATTTAATTTTTATTTAACATAAAGAGCTACCAAAAATCCTCGTTTAAAAAAAACTCCCTATAATTGCTGAAATGTCATATCGCTGAATCCGCTGAATTATTATGTAAAAAATAAGAATATTAAAGGTCAGACTGCATTTAAAAAAATTAAGTTGGTAAATCGAAATTGAAACATAAAAAAAAAACACATCAAAAGGTTGGTACCACATGTAGTTTTTTTAGAAAAAAATCAGCAAATTTGGTTTCCTCAAAAAATATCAAATCTAAAAAATATATCTGATCTAATTCAATAATCTTCTAATGGCTCAAAATCTTACATCGTTTCAGATTGCCAGCAATTTGCATATTTCTTGTCTTGGATACAGTGAATGTAGAAAAATAATGGGGAAATTTTCTAAATTTTAACTACACAGGGTGATTCACAACTTATCCAAAAAAAATTGTGAGCAGATGCACCATAAATAATAAAAAAAAATTTTGTAAAATCCTTATAGGTTCCGAGAAAAAAATTATTGAAGTTGCAGTATTTTCAACCATTACATCGCTGGGCTGCTGTAATCTCTAGCGTCATCCGTGTTATGCACTGTGCGATTCCGAATACTGAAATCCAATTTTAGTACCTATTAACGTTTTTGCGATAGTGTTTACATTAGTTTTTCAAGTTTCAAAAATGGCTTATATGTATAGCAACTCCGTTTTGATGGATATCGTTTCAATTTATGGTGAAGCAAGACAACATTTGTGTTAGTTCGTAGAAATGGGGTAGGAAATTCTTTAGAATATTTTGTCCGTTCATTTTTTATTACACTTTGCCGCCGTGCCGGTCGCCGACTGCATGCTTTGCCTTGCGCATCGTCAAGTATTACGTTGGACTAGTTTCCCCTGACGCGTAGAAGTGTATTTTTTAAATCATTTTCAAATTGTCTTTGTTTTTTTTTTATAAAATTGTATTTGTAAGAGTTGCCTGTACATTCAAAAATTTTTGTTGGATAAGTTCTGAATCACCCTGTATATACATTTCAAATATATTGGCCGCAATTTCAAATGCGAATTAAAAAAAAAGTAGGGTAGAGATGTGTCGCTCACAAACGATTTGTTCAAAAAGAACGATTCACTTTTGAAAAATATATATTAGCTCCTGTACTTGTTGCTCTGCTTTTCAAAGATTTTTAAAAATTATTTGTAGTTTTTAATAAAAAAATATTTGTTACCAATTCCTTAAAGCACTGTGTTTAGTTCGTGAATGCTAGAGTCGATAACCTCCGACGTTGACCTAGTTTAGGTGAACGACCTAATATCATCCACCTGCTGGGAAATGCGAACCGTCCAATATGTCATCGCTTCATTTTGTTACATTTATTTTAGACTTTTGTTAGTTTACGAAAAGGTGTTTCATTGTTTCCAATAAATGAATTGGCGAAATTTTTTCCGAAAAAAATGGCACAGTTGATTTTCCTTCTAAGCATTCAAAACGAGGGGCCAATACATTTGAAACGTCCAATAGAAACAATTTTTATTATAATTTTTCCCAACTTCGAGAAAATTCCGCTTCCCCGCACCCCAGGTCTTTACAAACCTTTTCTACCGTAACGGTTCCGTACCATTTGGCTCACTGTTGACAGCCGGGCTGGGCTGGGAGCTGGACGAGGCCCTGCCGTGGGAGCTCTCGTACTCCATCACCTCCTGGTAGATCAGCTCCTTCCACTGCTCCACCGTGTGCTCCCGCTCGTCCACGCTGTGGTCGTACGGGCCGGGCGCCGGCTGCAAACCCATTACACACTGAATTTACTCTTCTAGAGAGGCTCCGTTTCCGCCGGCGGCCGGTGCGAGATTCATAAAATATATTGTGGCGGGGCTCACCCGACAGTGATCCCGAAACGCGTTAGTTCGGTCAGGCAGGGCGCGTGGGTGTGGTGTGCGAGTCGTGATTTGTTTTTTCTTGCATATTTATATTTTTCGTATTTTTTTTCTTACGATATTCAAGTTTTTTTTGAGTTAGCACTTCGTTTGTACAGTCCCGGGGCTTACACCACCAACGGTACAAATCAAAACTCTGATAAATAGTCCTAGTCCTAGTCCTAAATAGTCGATAAATAGTAAAAACAAACACGGCAAAATTTTTTCGACCATTAATTATCGAGACATTGAAGTTTTAATGACGCTATTTTTTGATATTTTCAAAATAATGGACAAAACTTAATTTCGTGTGTTGATGAAACATTGTTTTTTTAATGGGCAAAAATACTGTTCAGCAATAGCTTGAAAAGTATTATAAGGAATATGCTCCGTCGAAAACATTCGCCTGCGGTATGCTGAGTTTAAACGGGGCTGTAGAGACACCAATGATGCTGAACGCTCGGGACGTCCAAATTAGGTGACGACACCAGAAAGCATAAAAAAATCTTCAAAATTGTGTCGGATAAATGTTGGACAAAAGGCAGTGTGTACTATATCTTGCAATTTCAGTTTAAGGTTATCCAACACAATTTTGAGGATTTCTTGATGGTTTTTTGGTGTTGTTACGTCACACAGCGGGAAATATTGGAAAAAATTCGAGCCACCCGTCAAAACTAATCAAATAGTACTGATTTTTTTTTTATTCTTTCCGAAATTACCTGTACTATAAAGTTCAAGTGAGGTAATTGGAATATATGCTTAATATTTTTTGAAAATGGCCGAGTAATCTCTAGCCTCAAACTCGATCATACGAAATTTGATATATTCGGTATCTAAAAATGAAAAAAAAAGGAAAATGATGTACTAAAGGCTGCCAAACAAAGAAAAAAATCATAATCATTAAACATATTCCTAAATCATGAATCTGGACCGAAAACATAACCTCAAATTTATAAATATTAACCTAAAAACGGACATACAATTTTCTCTAAACCTGTGAGGATAAATCCATAAAAATGGTACTTTTGAGTGTGCAACCAATATTTTTGCACAACTTTAACTCAAATTCATAGGAAGCTGACCAGGAAACCTGAAAACCTAGCCTCAAATTCAAAATAATTAAGTTAAAATCCACAGAAACAATATATTTTCTTCAACAAAAGAAATTGAATATGTTCGTTTTAGGTTAAAATTTATAAATTTATAAATGGAGCCATTTGCACTCCCACGTACAATGTATTTCCTTGTCGTGACAATACGACGAAGAACCGCTGGGTCGTTTGTTGGTTGTCTCACCTATGACACACTGATGAGGACTAATAAGTGATGACAAACGATCCTAGCTGTTGCACTATGTATTGCTGGTATAATGCAATGCCGGTAGGGGGATATAGCCCTTGGAGTAGTTGTTTCTCGCAACACTGGCAATTAAAACTTTGTTACGCCCTCTGTGGGTGGCAGTCGTACAACAAAGTAGTACAGTTAGCAGGTCACTTCCTACTGTAGCCATTTGAATGGCACAGTTGGGAGTCTGCACGACAGATGGAGCCATTTGCGCTCTCACGTATAATTATAAATTTGAGGTTAAGTTTTGGGTCTAAATTTATGATTTAGGAATATGTTTAATGTTTGATTTTTTTTTGTTTTTCAGCCTTTAGTACATGTTCCTTTTTTTTTTTCATTTTTAGATACCAAATATGTCCAACTTTGTATGATCAAGTTTGAGGCTAGACTACTCCGCCATTTTGAAAAAAAATTCTGGGTATATATTCCAATAACCTCACCGGAACTTCATAATACAGGTAAAGAATAAAAAAAATCAGTACTATTTGATTAGTTTTGACGCGTGGCTCGAATTTTTTCAAATATTTCAAACTGTGCGTCAGTTGGAAGTATTGAGCGTTCAGTATCATTGTTGTCCGTAAGGCCCCGTTTAAATTCAGCAAACTACCGACAAATGGTTGTTTTCTACTGAGCACATTCCTTATAACACTATTCAAGCCAGCGCCGAGCTTGAATGGTATTTTCGACCATCAAAAAACATTGTTTAACCAGCACACAAGCAAATATCAAAAGTAGCGCCATTAAATCTTCAATATATCGATAAGCAATGATCGAAATACTACAAAACTTTGACACGTTTCATTTGAAGGTTAGGATAGTCTCAGACTCATAGATTTTTTATTTGCGGCGCCATCTGTGGGTTAATCCTGGGACTTTTTGACCGATGTGTTATAAAGGGCGTTTGGAAACCAAGACACAAAAAATTCAACTCGACTCGGAGCGAGAGACGTACGAAGACCAAAATATCTTTTATGAATCTGCAGCCCGATGTGCCCCACTTACCGCGTTCACCTCCTGCTCGTCGTACCACACGTTGATGTACGGGTGGAGCAGGGCGTCGTCCACCGAGATTCTGCTCTGCGGGTCGATGACGAGCATCTTGGACAGGAGGTCGCGCGCCTGGCACGCCTTCAGCTTGTTGTGCTCGTTGCTGTCGGAGGGGAAGAGCACGTCCGGGAAGAGCTTCTCGAAGCTGAAGCCCGGATACCGGGGCCGGTTCTCCACGTAGTTGCGAACGGTCGGCTGGAGCCGCACCATGAACTGGGGCGAGGGGGTGCCCAGTTGCTCTGAAAGGCATACGAGATCTACAGTTCGATCCGACGCGCAAGAAATCGCCTTCTTAGGCAAAATTTTATACAAAATTGTTATAAAAAATATAAAATAAATAAACATGTTTTGTCACAATTCCGCAAAATAATATTAAAATGGGAGAAGACGTACCATATTCACTGGCGTAATGAAGTTTCATTAAATAAGTCGCCAATTTTATTACGTCTTACTCTGTGGTTTAGATGGCAGTGCCAATGATAACCGATAATAGCCGCTCGTGCTTAAGTTGAAATCTACACCCATAGAAAAGATTGTATTTGTGTATTTCTCTTTAAAGTTGTTACAAAATAGTTCTCATGTGCAAATTCTACAAAATATATGATATTGAAGTGGAGAATATGTGGCATACTGTGTTGAAAGATGCAGAAATCAGGAATTTTCATAAATTACGAGGAAATTTTATTTTCTAGTGTCCAACTCTGTGGTTTAGTACCCGACAACTGCATTAGCGTAAATCCACGATGCACCGGATTTAATCGCAAGGAAACGTCATTGTAAATATCTCACTTTATTGATGAATCACGAGATAGATTTATTTATGTGTCTCGTAATCATAGAATTGGTTGCGTATTTGTATTTAACGATCGCTAGAAAACTAGTTCCGGTGCATAAACTTGCATAAATTACGTCATCCGATGGGGCAAATTGAAATGAATCATGTTTCTTTGGAATTCCTCAAAATTAAATGTCATTACATGAGTGTCAAAATGGCAACATGTTTATTAAAAAGTTACACATAAACCTATGTAATTTACGACTTCGTATCATCTTCTTAACACAAACCAGTGTAGAATCAAAAAATATATTAAATATTTTAATTGACTCCTTCAAATAATTACTCATAAAAATTTAAACTATTATTTAAATTTTATAATTATTTAAAAAGTTGGAAGCAACTCTGTCAAACAAATGAAATGAATGAAGGAAACAAATCCGATTCAGGTTATTAAATCCATCGGAACTACTGGACATTTGAACTACTGAACATCTGAACTATTGAGATTCAGACTACACAGTTCCTAAGTAACTTTATATGCGACAAATTACTATTCAGTAACATTTTTAACTTCTCAATTTAACATTTTACAAATTAAAAACAAAATTCACATTACGTTCGTCTCATATAAGCAAAAATCACAACTCACCGATGATCTTATTCCACTGATCTATGTGATCGGTGCCGGGAAACAGCACTCCCCCCCTTATCATCTCCCCCATGATGCACCCCACGCTCCAAATGTCCACGTTCTCTGTGTACCCCATGCCCAGGATCACCTCGGGGGCGCGGTAATACCGCGTCACCACGTAAGGCGTCATCATGAAGGTCGTGCCCGCTGTCCTCGCCAGACCGAAATCCAGTATCTTCAGGGTGCAGTCCGATTTCACAACTATGTTGCTGGGTTTTAAGTCCTGCAACGGAAGGAGGTTAGCGAGGGGGAAGGACGGTCGGAGGGCTCGCGGGGCTTACTCTGTGTATGATTCCTGCGGAGTGTAAATGTTTGATGCCGCAGAGCATCTGGTAGAGGAGGTAGCTCATCCTCTCGTGGTCCAGGTCCATCTGGATGACCTGGCAGAGGTTGGCGTCCATCAGTTCCATCACTAGGTAGACGTCCTGGAATTCCTCTAACGTTCTTTGGGGCGTAAACGCGTTTAACAGCCCGATAATCTGAAAAATGAAGGTATGTTGTCGAATTTTGGCAAAACAAGAATATTACAAGGTCTCCGAGGTATAAGGACATCTAACAGAATGCTGCAAAATAAACACATAGGTCGCAAGAGAATTTATTGTGGTGGTGCTTTTTCAGGGTCAGGAATAGCACTTCCAGTATCCAGAACAAGCTAAGGCACCGCAACGAATGACCTAGTGTGTAGTAAATGTTTATCAGAATACTGGTGGTAACGATAAATTTTTAAAAGCAAAGATGACCACCGGTCGTTGAATTACAAGTGGAAGTGGATCTTATTTGTGGAAGGGCGAAACGGGCGGTGACTATGAGACGCCTTCATTATAGCCATCCTTCTCTATCGCATGGATTTCTATGACTTACTTTATCGCTCTCACGTAACGACCGATGAACCATGGGGACTTTCCGAACCTGTATACAATTTATTGGCCAATTTCATTGATGCTAACCTCGAACTTCATTCAACTCTCAAACTTAAATCATCATAATTGGGTTGGCATTAAAAAAAACGAAATGTAACTAGATATACCTAAAATTGACCAATAAATTTGAACAATCCCCAATTTCTTGATCAATTTATCGAAGTCAATATATTGTATGCCAATTTCTGTTTCACACTTCATAAAATAAATTGAAAGTCAACTTGTTCTATAAATTGTTGTGCGTAAAACAGCTCTTACACACAACAATTTATTGAACAATTCGATTTCCGTCAATCGTTATAAAAGCTTACAACTTACATTTTTGTGATTAACTAATTTCATTAGCTTGAACTCCCTGTACGCCCTTTTGGCGTGCGTGACGTTCTGGAAGGGGCGGCTGAGTTTCTTGATGGCCACATTCTGCTGGGTCACCGTGTCCACGGCAGCACTGAGAAATAAGAGGAAAAAAAAACAGAAATCGTTAATTGAGGTTACGTGGAATACGAACCAAAAGAAAAATAAGTGGTGACAGTAATGTGTGGAATTGTATTTCGGTTTCAGTTATTCTACTACCAGCTTCGTAATACTTACTCGGTGAAGTGGTCGTGAGAATACCCAGTGGCACACGTCAAATTATCACAACAAAAACTTTTAATATACGTGTCCCAATATTCCGTGTGCATGGAGCTGTTACATTTTCCTGTGGCCAAAGTGACCAAAAATAAGCAGATTTAACTAAATTTACTTCTATCTTAAGTTGCTCAGTTTAGCCGCCAGAGGGCATGAAAGTTTACAAAAAAAGGTCTTATTTTTTCCAAATAACTTTGAAATGCCTTGTAAGATTTTATTAAAATTTGGTACACTAACACTTCCATACAGTTGTTACTTTACGACGCACTAAACAAAGTGTTAAACAATTTTCTATGGTCAACTTTGACGACCTCTAGTGGCTAAACGTAGCAACTTAGGATAGAAGTAAGTTTAGTTAAATCTGCCAATTTTAATCGCAGGGAGCTTCCTGTACATGGCATACTGGCACACCCTGTATAGCCAGGAATGGGAAAATATTCTACTAATTCTTCATGTTTGTACAAAACTTTTTTTATGTCTTCCCAAACTCTAAGGTACTGAAATTTACGGTGCTTTTTTTGTAAAACTAAATTTTATGTGAATGGTTTGAATGTGTGTTACGAGGTACCTTCTTGTATTTGCTCGAGTATTCCTGTGATGGATGGTATTGGAATTTTTGTGTGAAGTCCACAAAAACAGACAATTTTACACAGAGCACTACAGTTTCGTCAGTGATTAACAGACATATTTGAATTTAAAAAAGTATTATACACATACAGTTTTTTTAATTATTACATCAGTTTTTCTTTTTTTTTTTTTGGAAAAAAGGACGCCTATTCTTTTCGAAAAATATATAATTTTCATGAAATATTTTAGGACTTTACCGAAAACTATCTGGAGAACAAAGTCATTCTATATTTTTTCCAACAATGGCCTCAGATCTTTTGTTAAAGCAATTCTGGAAAATAAGCACGTTTTTATGGTTTGAAAATTATTTTTATTTTCCCAAAATAAAGATATATATATATACAGTATGTCCGCGGATTGAGTTTGTAAGAGGACAAATGGACCAAAAAGTGAATGATATGAAAAAAGGCATTCTTGATAAGGCGAAGTTAACGTAGAAAAATTTATAAAAATAAAAAAACAGTTTTTCGCTTATAAAAAGAAGTTGAACTCCAATCGTAAAAAGTTAAATGACAAAGTCATTAAAAAAACCTATCGATTCGTATTTTTAAATACATATCATGTATATCGATTTCTATATTACCTACTTTTCGAGATATATCGAAAAAACCGTCAAAAATCGCCTTTTTTGTTTTTGCTGTATCTCTTGCAAATTAAGGTTTTGAAACTTGTTATTTGCTGTAAATGTAGCCCTAGGCAAGCAAAAAAGTGCCTTTCTTTTAAACTAAAAATTATTAAGAATTTTTCGAGTTATATAGATTTTTCGAAAAAAAGGTCATCTCGAAAATCGGCTCTTCTTGTTCGACGAATAGTCGTAGAGAAACTAATCAAGGCTCATTTTTTTCCTTAATAGTTGTACTTTCATGGTAAAAAAGAGTGATAACGATTTTATTCATTTCCAGTGTCCAAAAATGACTTGAAAAAAGCAAACACTTTTTGGTCGCGTTTTTCTTGAATTTCTTTTTCGATAATGTCTATTACAGGAATCGATTGCTGGCATTTTTACGCGAATTAAAAAAAAACGTTGCTCTACGACCTTTTGGAGCCGATATATTTTTTTTCAAAAAATTCCATGGACCGCTAATTAAGTGTTATAGCGTCTATTCTTACACAGATTGAAGTTGAAGACTTATATTTTCAATTAAAAAATACTGTGGTACATTTTAGCCACTTCTGCGTTTTTAATTGTACGTCAAATCGAAGCATTCGAGCGCGGAGTGAGCTAACCGTAGCGGGTGGAAAAGTGCTTTTACTTCCAAAATTTTCATAATTTCGACTTCTGGACCGCGTACAAAAACCCTTTTGTACTTAATCTGGGGTAGCTCGACGAGATAAACCAAAATATGACGTTTACGACGGCCTCAAAAGCATAATAAGGTACCTTTGAAACATAGTCTAAAATTCTGTCACCTCTATCCTCTGTCCAGGTGGTATTTTTTGTAAATTTAACATCAGGTCGTGACGGATTGATTGGATTATGTTTAGAAGATACGAATCACCATGACATACCTCAATTTTGTTGTACAGGGTGGGTCAAAAACACAAAAACGTTATTTTGTGTAAGAGTAAACATACCTACCTTGTTTTGCAAGATACGAAAAGAGTTTTTGCTTGAAAAATGAAAGTTATCTATCTATTCATTTCTCATGCAAACCCTTTTATCAAGAATGCCTTTTTTCGTATCTTGCAAAATGTGTTTACTATTACGCAAAATAACACTTTTGTATTTTTTCGTATCTATCACTTTTTGGTCCAATCGTTCTCTTGCGAACTCAATCCGCGAACATACTGTATATTTAAAAAATTAAAACAGATTCCAACATAAGCATGAACACAAGACTTGAATGGTATGACGAATAACCGACAAGAATAGAGTTTTGGGAAAAAGACATTTTCAATTTAAAACTGTGAATAAAAATGTAAAATTTATCCTTTAGTTGATTTTTAGCAAGTGACAATTCCATTCATTCTGATCACAATAAAAGAAAAATCGCAGCGGCTCGAACTCTTAAGGCTTTCTTGGAATACTTTGGGGTTAAAAGAAAACGGCAATATCCTTAGTCTATTCATTATTTGTAAACTTATTTCAAGTTTTAAAAATCAAAAGGGCCCCTGGTAATAAATAAAAATTCCATTTAAATACAAAAGTTTAAAGCTTTAAAAATCGACTTTCTAAACCCTTTTTTGTTAATAACTTTCGGAGAGACAGAAGGTTAAAGTTATGCATTTTTGCCCTTGGCGGGATAAGTAGAATTTTTTTTAAAACTATTGGGACTACAGAGCCGATCTTTCGCACAGTTTTGAAGAACAATAAAACTCACAACTTTTAGGGATATTCATAAAATTACAATAAATAACAACCAAGTTATGGATAATTAAAAAAATGCTTTTTTCCACGTTTTTTTAAGTTTTTTGCAATAACTTTTAAACAATTTATCCGATTTTAATCTATCAGGCGGTATTTTGTAGGTCTTTTTATTGCGCATATTTCGTCTCTTGAACACTTTTCCTTAAACTCAGTAGTTTTTCCAATATTTTGGAAAAACTGATTTTTGACCCAAATTGTTTAATTGCTTTTTTTATCGATCGACCATTTTTCGCCAAGTAACAGTATAGCCTTTTGAAAATCACCTAAAAATTTAGGATTTTTTTTATCCTTTAATTTTTTAATCTAGTTTATATGTATAGATATTTAAAAAAAAAACAGGTGTAGAAGTTACTGTTTAAGAAAACCACTGACCCCTTAGTGTCTACAACACTGGTAAAAGCATAAATTTGCAATTGACAACTAATAGTGGTAAATAAAAGAATTAATTTCTTTAATGCTACAAATAAATTATACACGTTTCAAGTTATTTAAAAATTTAAATTTTGTAACGCATCGTGACGTCACTTAGTGTGACCGAGAACACATCCCGATTCTCAGCCATTTGGGTCTAGTCTACAATTTCCATGCGAGATGAAATCTAATCTAAAGAAACGCGCATGCGTGGAGCCCCGAAGCAAAGTGAATTTGGCTGTCTCTAGACTCTTGCTACTTACTGTCGAGGGTCCTGTCCTCGTCATTCATCTCCTCGATTCACGATCGCACTAAATGACGTCACGGCTTAAAAGTTTTATTCATCTCGTGTCGCGAAGCGCAGCGCTCTGTGGAAAACGCCGTTCTCGTCTGAAGGGTATGTGTGTGGGTGGTGGGTGATCTGTCTGTCTGTCGTCTGTCCGATGGCGACTTACCACACCAAACCCTGGGCGCCGCCCCCCTTCGGCTCCAGCCGGTTATAGCGCTCCGGCACCCAAAATTCGGTATCTCCAAAAATGTGCTTAGTGAATCCTGGCCTGACGCTCGACATCGTGCAAACTCAGTGAGTAAAACAAAAACCAAACAACACCAGCAAACAAAAAAACAAAAAAATACTGCCCAAATCAACTAAAAAATAAATAAAAAAAAGTAATGACAACGGGGTACAGGTGTGCAGTGTGTGCGGGGCGCGCGCGGCAAAATGAATTTCGTGAATGTCGTGCTGTGTTGATTTTACTTCGTCTAACCGCATGGCATGAAAAACCCGGGCGATTTTCGTAAGGACATCTCTACGCAAAAGTAAACAACTCGAAAGGTTAACAATTAAAAATTATACAGCGTTTCGAATAATGTATCGTAAATAACATTGTAAATGTTTTGCAAGTGAGCTATGGATCTACCTTCTTTTGTTTTTAACACATAGGGCGTTAAAGCCAGAGATTTAACAGTCCGGAAAAATTGGGGAAAAAACTGTTTTTTCCGTTTTTCCGAAGCAAAATATTGAGAAATCGGATATATTTAAAGAAAATTGAATATAAAAACACTTTTATTTAAAAAAAAACAACCTTTTTTCGATATTTGACAGTTATCCAGTTTTACGTGACGGTTATCCGGTTTTTACGTGACGGTTATCCAGTTTTACGTGACGGTTATCCAGTTTTACGTGACGGTTATCCAGTTTTATGTGACGGTTATCCAGTTTTACGCGACGGTTAGCCAGTAAAAGGAGTGGAGGGGGTAAAATTGGTCAAAAATGACCAGGATGAACCTCCATAAGAAAATATATGGGATTTTGGCGTCGTACTAACAGCCTATCTACTAATAACAATAGTAATAATAATATTAACGCCCTATATTTTGAAAACAGAAGAAGATAAACCTTAAATTTATCGACTCGACTAAAATCGTATTTGTACCCTTAGAATGGTACGTGATTCTGAAACGTACTGTATAATTTTTTCTGAAACTTACTGTATAATTTTGTTTCAAGACGACTTTATTTAAAAGATGTTTTGGAAGCTACGTACAAACATTTTTCAATTGACAAATCATGTTAACTAAAAAAAAAGAACAAATCAATCCGTTGGTTAGAAAACATTAAGTCCATATTAAACGAAGCAAAATCATGAAAATGTATTAGCTAGTGAGAATGACAAGCAAACACATACATACAGTAAGACGAGGAGCAAACATTATGATTAAAAACTACTTTAGACATATTCGAGTGCAATCTGTGAAATAATTTACATCAAATTGATATTTAATTGCAAATACGTGTATACGTAATCTCTAAGAAATACAGGTTGAATTTTAAATGCGTACATATATTTTAAATGTATATGTGTACATATATTTAGAATTAAATCTCAATCTTTCAGCTTCATATTACAGGTAGTAAATTTAAGTCCAATGCACTTGAACGGATTCGAGTTTAAATTAAAATGACTGCAAAATTAATCTCAACAAAACAAACTAGCAGCAAATAAAGGTTACTTAATTATTTATCGAAAAACAAAGTACTTAAATAGTCAATTACTACAAAAACAAATATTTCATCAACTTAACTCTTTAAAAAAAAGGTTCTTTGATTTGAATGAATCTCGGTACAGAGTAGATCTGTGGCTACAATTTACAACTTTCTAAAAAGTTACTGAGAAAATTGTATTAATCAGTCGCTGATTGAGTTGAAACTAAAAAAAATAACTACATAACTGACTAATGCACACGTGCATGTAAACAAAACTTTTATCTGTCTATCTTATCTACTCAATATCATCATTACCAGTCATAAACTAAAAAAAAATAAATGCTACAGCTACTTTCATTCCAATACGCCATACGTTCTATGAGATGGTTGAGTGTACTAGAAAAAAAGAAGGAAAGAACAGGGACCGGACTCACCAGACGATGCCCTGGGCTCCAGATCCAATGGGTTTGAGGTTTTGGTATCTCTTCAGAATGGTAAACTTGGTATCGCCCACCTCGACGGTGTAGAACTGAGAGAGACGTGACATCTTATTTCGCCAGTCCCAGTAGTTCGAAGCCGTCGTCTGCAAAGAAACACTACTAGATCGGTGTTAAAAGGGGAGATGATATCGAGGGACGAAACGTCGGGTTAGTCACACGGGCCACGCGGAAGCGGGGAAAAAGCAATGGTCAAAGAAGAATGATTGAATGGACAATGTTTGAGTATTTCTACAGGGGCATACAAAGCTCTTAAAATTCTTAAAATTTTGATTTTAAAATAAAAAAATATCCATTTTAATATTTTGTTGTCAAATAATAAGTGACGTGTCGTTTGAAAAAATAGTTATAAAATATTTGGTTTTAGGTATCAAAAGAAAGACATGGCAACGCCTCTATTACAAATTAAAAATGTAAAATCGGTGTTTTTTAGTTTATCGGAAAATTAATATAAGGCGAACATATTTTAAAGTTGCAAAGAAAATTGCACAAGACCGATATATGTAAGTTGATTATAAAATAAAATCGAAAATAAAGAAAATATTGTCATTTATTCGGTTTTAGATTCTAATAGATGTGGCAACCCCGTTTATCCGTAAATGTTTATAAAAATTACCCATTCTTGTATTACGCTGTCGAATGGCAAACGATAAATCGTTTAAAGAAGTATTTATGAAGTATTTAGTTTTACGTTGTAATAGCTGGATATGGCAACACCGCTTTTATAAATTACACGTATAAAATCTTAACTTTTTAGAAGTTTTTGATATCGTTGAAGTAACAAAAATAAAAATTCCTCTATTTTAAAATTGCAAAAAAATGATATAAAAACCAATTTAAGGCGGTTTAAAAATAGAAAATTGTTGCCAAATGTACCTTTTTTAATTAACATTGAGTTTATGTCATCGTACAGCTTTGATAAAAATTATAGAAGTCGATCATAAAAAGGTTGATTTTCACAAAAGATTCTAATATTTTTCTGCCAAATAACAAATAGCCAAGCCCTTAAAAAGATTTTTATGAAGTTATTTGCCTTTACATATTAATAGTTAGAAACATGGCAAGCTTGTTCTTTTAAACTATAGTACACAATTTCTATGTTATTAGGAATACTGGTTTCATTTGTTACAGAATAAAAATTAAAAACTAATGTTGAACTTGCAAAAACTTCAGGAAAAGTTTGTGTTGATTATCGATAAGAAGAAGCAAGTAAGTTTACAGCAATTTCAAGATATGGTTAAAAATTAAATGTACTTGTTTCTATAAAGACAATTCTGCACAATGCATTTTATTATTATTTCTTTTCTGATGTACAAAGAGTGACCGCAAAAAACCTGTGATTTTCGCCTGTTTTTTCACAATTCGCAGTGAATTAAAAAAAATACATAAAAATATGTTTTTGGTCGCAAATTACTTGTCGTAAAAAACTGAAATGAGCATAGCTTTTAGTATTTTGAAGATTTTAAAAATCACTCCTATTTAGGGGTTGAAAAAATGCCAAAAATGAGGAATTTGAATATTACCAATTGATATAAAAACTATTAGCATGTGAATTATCTTAATATATAGATATTTTTTTGGAATTTTTACAATTATTTCTGATATTCTCTATTTTTGGGGATGATTCCACACTCTTAGCGCGCTTAAGGGTGGATTTTCTAATTCAACATGTATCAAGTATCAAGAATCATTCGATAGAAAAATTCACATGCTAATAGTTTTTATATTTATTGGTAATATTCAATTCTTCATTGTGGGCCTCTTTTCAACCTCTAAATAGGGGTGATTTTTGAAAATTTTCAAAAAACTGAAAGCTATGCTTATGTCAATTTTTTACGACGAGTAATTTGAGACCAAAAACATATTTCTATATCAATTTTCTTTAGTTCTCTGCGAATTGTGAAAAAACGGGCGACTTTTGCGGTCAATCTTTCGTTTTCGAAATGTCACGTCATTCTGTTTGTTGCCAAGTAACAAATAACAAAAGTATTTAGCTTTGGATATTAATACATAGACGTGGCAACCCCGCTCGCACAAACAAAACGTATAAAAAGTCGAATTTGTTAAAAATTATTGGATTCGTTTATCAGAGAGGCAACAAAAAACAAAAAGTAATACAAAATTGCAGAGAAAATGTGCGAAAGATCTACCGAAATCGCTTTAAAAATAAAAAAAGGTTGCCAAATATACTCCATTTATTTAACATTAGGGATCTGATACCCGACTCGTTTTTCCTCCAAGCAAGCAAGTTCACAAAGACAAGGTGTAAGTACGCCCTAAAGTTTGTTTAATGCGAACCAACTACAAGCCAATAAACACGTTTTACGGCAGTACAGAGTCCAAGTCGAGTTGAATATCGTCCTGGAGACGTTAAGTGCACGGCATGTTTATTGGCGAAATTGTCGACTGTCATCTGTAATTTATCGTCGTAGACCGGCATTTGATCCTAGCCTGCATGCTGCTTGGAAGCGGGCCAATGTTTATCCAGACGCTGTGGAATTCGACTTATATTCGCAACGCGACAGAATAAAAATAAGCGGGGAAGGATTATGTCATTTTTTCGCACTAAAAACGCGGATCGACCTTCCAAAAAAAAAATTAGATGGATCGTTTATATTCGGGAGAAACGACAACGCCCTGACACTTCTACACCATAAGACTGAGGTGTCAATCAAAGGGGCCAAATTCTCACAATGCAAAGGGCTTAGGTATTTAGTAAATTTTTTAAATTCATATTCAAAAAGTATGGATCATAGTATAGTATGCAAAAAATCAGATTTTTTTTCAATAATTTCCTTCTCAAAACAATTGAAATGAAAACGGAGCACAGGAAAACGCACAAAAGCCACGCCGTGACGTCACACCACTCGTTAACGGCTAACCTATATGGTAGGTTTTTAATTTTGAATCAAGCATTGTTAACATTTCTTTCAAATCTTTACGATTTTATAAAAAAAAAAATACTTTTTAATTAATATGTAACCTTTGCTATAACACTTCTCACAAATTAATTCAAAAATAAAAGTAATAATAATCAATTTAACTTGGACTTTTGCACTAGTCGTTTTGTTTTCAGCAAACGCGCAGGATTCCTATAAACAACAACACCGTTGCGGCCTTCGAATCGTCTATTTTATTTAAAATATTTTGAAAATGTGGTTAATTAAAAATTTTCCAACACCTATTGTTTTCCACGGCTAAAAATAAACGTCAGTTGCTAATTTTACGTTTCTAAAGTTTCGTCCGAGCGATTTTAAATACTTAATTAGTTGGGGAAACATCACGACATGCCAGAAACTCGTAAAATAAATCGTTTACTGTTGCGTACTCACCAAGAGCGATCCATTTTAGACTCATAGATTGGACGGCCTACACCAGAATGCCTGAAACAAACAAAAAAAAAACTGTTAAAATTTTTTCTGCAATTATTAAAAATTATTGCAAATTCATTAAGTCCTTGTTACGACATGCATTGATAAGATTTTTTTAAAGATAATATGTCGTTTCTAGCCTCAAATATTTTTTAATCATCAACTAGAAGAGTTTGTAACAATTTATTACAACATTTTATTCATTAATTTATGAAATAAATAAGAGTGGTCCTAAGTTTGATCCCTGCGGAACCCCCGCAAAATGTGGACCGGAATTGTAACCTCCTGGTGCTAATTGAAGTCTTCTGATGATTATTTCAATATGTGAGCTTCAATTAACTTAAATCAAAAAAATAAAAACATTATTTTAACATCCCCTGTTCAAAATTGAAGGCGGTTTTCGCACTTCTGGGACGAGAACTCCGAAACACATCGCTCCGCTTCCGGTTACTAGCTACAAATTCCTTTTATGCGATTCCCACCCCTACTGGATTGCCGGAAAACACCCCCTCAACGAACAATTAAGCCGCGAATGTTTTGTCGGACGTACGAAACGTCCCGGGGCGTCCTCTATCTAATCCATTAGATGTCTTCGTGGAAGGGTGGCCCGGGAGAGATACCCCGTGTTCTGGCGTGTCGGACAGGATCCTAGGACCCCGTTTTTACTGGCCTACGGCGAAAAGGTACAGGGAGCGAGAACACTAGAAAAACTTTTGTCGAGTTTTTATGTAAGCTAAGCACAAACTAACAAAATGACTTTTTAACTGTTCTTGAAGCGCTTGAGAGTCACATTTATGCGGAGACTAACGTTGACCTCTAGATAAGTTGGTTTTCTCATATTCCGTCGTGAAAATTTATTTTTTTTAACTCCTTTTTAGTAGTTTTCTTACCCCGCCGCTGAATAAGCTAGTGTGACCTCAAACAACGTCGCAGCGCATACACGTGATAAATGAAATACACCAGAACAAGTAAATAATCTGTTTACTCATCTGATTTTTACAGCATATTACATACTTGAAATCTTGTAGGTAATCTTCGAATACTGGAACCTTTTCTACGGCGCGGCGTTTAGAATTCCTGATTCTGAGTTTCTCACTCTCTGAATTTGTTCCCGTACAATATTTCTTAAATGCTGAACCAATCTTACTAGTCCAGACGGTATCTGTTTCAAAGAGTCCATATTTGGGTGAATCGTATATCCACGGAGATTTTTGGCTTTCAAATATCACTAAAAATGAAAATTTTTCTATGCGCATAAAAAAAAAAACGTGGGCTTAACTTTTGGCGTCACAATATGTTAAAAAAATGCGAAAAATGTCATATTTTTCTTCCTATTTAATTATGTATCTTTTCAAGAATCGATTTTAGGCGAAAATTGAAGAGGAAAAAAATTTTTGTAATTAAATTTGACATAATGTGACTAGTTACAAATCGAATGAATCATGATTATTATTGTAAAAATCGAAAAAATCGCCAAATATGGGGTTAGAAATCATTACTTTTTAGGGAATTTTTTTGGGGGCTTTAAATTTGATGTAAAACCTTCATACTTGGATCAAGAAAACTTCGTGTTATGTAGAATCATCACACCAAATTTCATCAAAATCGGTTCTATATATTTTGCATAATAATTTTGCAATCCAGATTTTGAAAAAAAAAAAATTGTAAATTTTCAAAATTCTGCACAGCAAAAACCAAGGCACTTAGATACTTGAAAATTTAATCACATATAGAAGGGCTCTCAAGCTTTCAAACGCTTTTTGAATTCGAATCCGTCATTTAGGAGAGCTCTGGCGCTTGTTTAAACATTGGCCGAATTTTTGTACAATCATTTTGTATTTTTGTAATATAATGAGTTAATTTCTCATTTGCTTATATTTTAAAAAGTAAATAATAATTGAATTATACTTTAATCACAAAAGAAATGATGATTAAATAAATAATTAATTAATTAATTACTAATTTTCGACATATTTTGAAAATAATTGTTGTTTAAACAATTTTAGAATATTTAAATAAATTTGTTTTTGATCTTTGA